AATTCATCATAGTCGATATGGTGATCGTCCTTCGCGACGTCGTTGACTTCAGATTCGAATTCATTCTCGGAATCGTAGCTGGCACTGTTACCACTATCAGAACCCCCAGGACCCCCGATGACGGAATCGCCCTGGCGCCTCGCATGACGTCGATAATGGATCGGGATTATCCCATCGTTCACTTCGGAGTCGAACTCGCTGTCGAAACTCAAGTCGGCGGCATTGCCAACGTCGGACCCCGACGTGCCCCCAATAGCCGTATTGCCTTCTTGGCGCTTCTTCATTGCGAGAGGGATGGGCGCCAGCAAGGGCTCCGGGAAAGGATCCGAGAACCCTTCCTCGACCTCGTTGTGGACGGGGTGTGGGTGGTAGTCGGTGGTCTTGTCGACGTCGACCCCATGATCATCAACCTGCGCGTCGTTGACTTTAGAAGAAAACTCCGACTCGAAATCAATGCTGGCGCTGTTGCCCGAGTCGCTTCCGCTCGGCCCTCCAATCACTGTATTGCCGCTTGGCACATATTCCACATGATGGCGGCGGACGTTGCTCGCCCCATTCACCTGAGCAGGTCCTCGGATGCCCTCCTGAGCCTGCGCCAAAGCCGCTGCGGCGAGCAAGGCCACGGGCACACCACCTACAAATCCTTTCATGGTGAGGTAATCGTCGGAAGTTTCCCGTACGCTGCAAAAGAAATAGTTTATAAAAGAGCGACTTGGGCCGTTGGCCAAACGAAAATATCAGATCAAACACGTCCACGCAGAAGAGAAAACACGCAAAGAGGACCTCAACGATTCAATAGGCTGACGATGGGACAGATGACCGATCGGGTTGCTGGACCTTTTATCCTGCTTTCCCTTTTTCCATATTCCCTGGAAGCATGCCACATCACAACCAGGAGGAAGTAAACAAACATCCCGGGCATTTTTGTGCCTTGCAAATCAGCAGGAGAATGGATGATCACGCCCCAGAGACGAGTAAACATCACCAGCGACGCCTGATCGCGATCTCCGCCGTTATGGCGGGTCGCATTCCAAACTTTGGGATGATGCGGACCCGAACTAGTTCTCTCAAGTCGCGGACCATGGTCCAATTCTCTCTCCCTGTGAGCTTGCATCAGTACCATAGCACAGGGGCTGAGGATCGCAGGAGGTCATTCCAGGTTCAGGGACCGCGAATGGAAGAAAGAATGTCACCCCCTTTCGAGTGAATCATTCGACACTACAGAAAGCCACAGTACGTGAAAATTTCAGACATTACTGCAGAAAAAAAAATTGCATTCATGACACTCAATACGAATTGTGTTTTTAAAGCAAAACAATAAAGAAAAGGTATGTATCCCGTCATCGACATTCCCCCCTCATCGCCCTCACTGAAGAGGACCCAACGAGAGGCGAACTTCCTATCAAGGAGTGATTTATTCTCCAGAACGGATCGATCCGTAGACCGAAGGCAACACATCGCCGTGGGTAAAGACTGGACGATGGTCGTGGCATGTTCCGTGAAGCTTTTTCGATGTGAAGAAGAAAAGGAAAAAGAAAGAAGGGGAGCGAGAGGAATGCGGCGCTTCTTATACGTGCGGTGGAGAGCCGCTCGGGGCGACCATTCTTCCGAAGCTAGCCGACGGACACCTCAGGCAGTTTTGTTCGTCCCCCATAATTTGTCACCCGGCATTCTTATTCCATGCATAACTATTATCGCGGTGCATTTCTCTATGGGAGACCGGGACACCTTCGATTTGATCTCTTCTATTGTACTGTAGTAAACGACTGTACACATCTCTCTCCCTCCCGTGTCTTAAGGCTGTACAACCAGACCCCTTAGGTCTAGAAAATGACATCCCACGCTCGTGGAATGTCCTGGTGCTCATGATTCGACTTCCATACGCCCCCTCCCACGGCCACTGAGATGCCCAGCGCCACCGCGACCATGCACCCTAGCGTCACAATCGCGATAGCCACCTTGGTTGCCAACCGTTGTCGTCGCGATAGTCCACGCAGACAGTCACAGTGTCGCCTTTTCTGGGCCCAGAGCTGAGACCCCCGATTGTCCCCGGTCACCAAGCCCTGTTCGGCGTCGGTGAAGCTGGACGGGCGGCTTGTTTTGGTCTGTGCGCCCAGATTCCGTATTGACTGCTTGATGCTTGCGTGTCGGTAGAAGGGCGAGCAAGGCTTCGCATTGAGCGTGGGGTCGTAGTCCAGTTCCAGCGGCGTCAATGTGACCGTTGTTGTCCTGGTCCTGGATCTTTTAGGGGCGGGCGTTGGGGAGGCTGGTGGGGTGGATCCGGTGGAGGAATCGGTGATTGTCGTTGTAAGAGGGGTATTGATCGGATCAGGGACCGTTGGGAGAGGAGAGTAGGCCTCCTTTGTCCCCGGAAGCTGCGTGGACAGCGCAGCTAGAGCGGGCGGAGGCATGCTTGTGATTGTCGATGGTTCCGATCTCTGAGAGCTAAGTGATTGGAGTGTGTTTAGGTCACACGGAAATACTATGACCTAGACGTTGTAGGCCGGTCGCCATTGGGAGTGAGTGCTTGCCCAGTTGAGAGCGCAGGAGGGCAGTGGATCCGGGTGTCAAGGGCTTGGATGCAGTGTTTTTAATCTATTTTCCTGATGTGTACGAGCAACAGAGGCAGCCTTCAGGGGAGTCACTGAGATCCTGTTTGGCAGAGATTCCTGATATGGCACGTGGCTGCTGCCGCCGCATTCCATTGGAGTTACCGGATCTCGTCACAGCTGGTTCCCTGGGTAATATCTAAAATCACCCTTACCATGCAGGATCAGTACTTCCCAAGTAAGGTTGAACGCAACTTCCCTGCTGGGGATGGGTTATGGAGTATCTCTTTTCCTAATCAGGGTAGGCTTAGTTTATCAGCATGGTTTCAATATTGAAACATTTTTCTATCTTTTCCTAGGTTCAAGATGGAGGATTGTATAAAGCCATCCCTGAGCAATATATATTTTGGAATAGTCATAGTGGTACAGTATACCGAGCAACCTCACACAGAGTAAAGCAATAATTGTAATACTGTATGACCTTAGAGCCTACTATTTGGAATAATCACATCGTGCGTTTATTTTTAGCATACTCACTCAATTATTAGGGACCAGTTACTTCGTAGTTATCTATACTATACCTTACTATGATCTATGGCCCCACGGCCAAATCATATGAGCAAAATGGCAGTACTATCAATATTAACTTTACCCCCGATGAGTGGACACCTACAATCTAGCGGGCAGCACTGTTCATCTCCTTTCGACTATGAAATTTCTCCTTCTCACCCAGGAATCTGATACTCAGCATCAACATGAGATGTCCATCCGTTTGCCCCAGCAACCATCTTTGCAGTGTTCTCCTAACCACATCCTCCCAGATGACCCGAAGCCACGCAAACCCTCTTCGAGGACTCACTCAACCCAATCAAGTCTTCAGATACCAGAAGCCCCTGAACAGGCCCAGAACAGTCGATCCTGTTACCCGGGTCACCCGGGTTGCAATCATGCAAGGCACCTGCCTGCACGAAACAAGGGGTGCTCACTCCAAGGCCACACATTCTTCCTCTTGCATGCATCCCTTGAGTACCTGAAACAATCCTCAATGAAGGGAGTGGAATGTTTTCAAAACTCCACACATCTGGACTGCAGTCGACGAGTCACATTGTGTTTGATACTTTTTTCACTGTCTCAGTGGGAGAATCTAACGATGTCTTCCATCTCTCATCACGACGTGTTCTCTGTGCGGTCAACAGTGCTGCTAGACTTCCGGGGTTTTTCGCTTGTCTATTCGATGCAAGAATAACTAGACGTTACCACCAAATCACCCTTTCATTAATTATACTACGAACTGTTGTCCCGTTCTCGAGTTACATTGCAGTCACGAGATCAGAGACAACCCTAATCCCTCATTTCAAACGTCAACTCGCATTCTAAAGTACCGTTGATCAAACGCTACTATCTACCATAAGTCTATATAGAGATATGAGCGCAGACAAGGATAAATACTATACTATTGACCAGAATGTGAGTTTTTTTTATTTTTATAATACAGTTCGAATATGTAGAAAAAATAAGAAAGTCCACCATACTACTTAGTTTTAATAGTCAGGAAGGAGGCCACATTCTAACTAGTAGTGGTCACTATCTTATCTAATCATGTTGTCCTTGTTTCATCAAGTTCCGTAGGCGCTACTACTTCGTAGTGCGAAGTTTTTCCCTTCCTGGGAAGGTGATATATATGAGATACTACTAAGGTTTAGTAGTTGTAGAGATGCTTACTGACCCAGTATGTGGTCATTATAAATATCTTTTACACATTAACTATCATTTTAGCTAAGATCGTGGAACTGAATCAAATTTCTTGTTGACGGGGAATTATGGTATGTATATCAAATGAATTAACTAGAATATATATACAATGTACCCGTCACTCTTTTCCCAGTACTTCACCTATTATTTATTGATTCATTCAGCAGCAACCTAATAATATATCTCTATCTCCAACACTATATATCTCAATATCACTAATGCAATTGTTTCAATTGTCTGATCTAATCTTAGTCTCATACTCGGTCCATTTGTGGGGACCAAGAGGCGAGTAAGTACTAGGGTTGAGCCACCACAAAACACCTGGCCTAGGCTGCTACTAATTAACGTAGGCCGTGCATGAGTCACTCCACACGTCAGCCTTCTTTGCGCCATAGATTAGTGGAAACAAAATCTGTCCTCTGACATCTCAGTCCGTTAGAAATACAGATACCTATAATAATGGGAATCCATGCGCAGTGATTGGCCAGATCGTGGTATACTACAGACAAGTAGTGCGCACTAACCTCGGACGAAGCTGATGAGACCCCCGCCCGAGCGCGGACCCCCGCCCGAGCGCGGACCCCCGCCAGATCTGATCGAATGACTCTTAACGACTGTTACATTGCGACCGGACTAGTCAGTAGTCGCGCTAGTATATGAGTAGTATTAGTAGTATCTATTCCCGTAGACGCAGTCACAACATCTTCCCACCCGCCCAACACTTAATAGATTCTCGAAGCGCAACAAAACAAGCATCATAAGAATGGGTGTGACCGTCCGCTATGCCACCGAGGCCGACGCCCCGGCGCTAGGCAACATAAACGTCGCCGCGTTCTGCCACCAAGGGTTCAGCATAAACGCCTTCCCAGGCCAGGAGCCCGCCGCTATCCTTCCCCTCAAGATCGCCCGAAGTCTAGACAAACTGGCCGATCCGACCGTGCAAGTCCTGGTCGCCGTGGATGACGACACGCCCGACAAGCGCGTGGTGGGCTACTCACGCTGGACGATTCCCGACGAACCGAGCCCCGTAACACTGAGTGCCGAGGGGCAGAAGACAATCGCGCGGCTCACACGCGGCGAAATGTATCCCGAGGGAACGAAACTCGAGATGATCCAGGAATTCCTTGTCATGATCAAGGAGAAACGGGCGAAGTACTTGCGGGTGTCGGAAATTAGTATGTCTTCGTCTTGCCCCTGTTGGTCTTGTTTGGTTTTTGGTAGAACTAGACTTCTGCGTGGTGGACGATTCATGGATGTGCAATGCGATGGAGAGAGACAGCTGACGGACTCTAGCACTCGACTTCCTAGGCACCCTCCCCGAGTATCAGGGCCGCGGGGTGGGGTCGACTCTACTGCGCTGGGGAATAGAACAGGCAGTTAAGCGCCAGGTGGGAGTATTCCTTGAGGCTACCATGGACGGGTATTCGCTGTACCGCAAGTTCGGATGGCAGGATATGGAGGAAGTGAATATCGAGTTTAGTAGGTGGGGAGGCGAGGGGACCCAGAAGTTTGTGATGATGCGGTTGGACGCACCTTTGCTGAACTAAATAAGGTAGTGTTCCCAAATTTCTCGCAGTGTAACTGTATGTGTACCGCAGAATGCCGGAGGTGAACTAAACGATGAAGAATGATCTTGTTGTCATTTCATATAGCCTTGCGTTGTTCATGTCCATGAAGTAGAATGACAGCGACATCGATTCACGCGCTATGCATGGGTTTATTTAGATACTTTAATAGATCAGTATAGAGTTACTACCTAGACACTTTTTAATAAAGTGTACTGTGCAAGCAGTTAGTATCAAGAGATGACGAAGACGGTTGCGATACTTTATGCTCCGAGGGGAAATGGATGAAACCAACAGATCCCTGTTAAGAAAAACCACGATAATATGGAAAGTACGCAAGTGTCAAGAAAAGGGCACGTATATGCAGAAAACGCAAAAACCCGTTGACACTGGTCTGTAATCAGGCCGCACTATTGACCGATTACAGTCGTCGATCTTTTGCATGTTCCCCACAAGGCCTCTATTTAGCTAGGCATGCTGGCTTGATCCGAGTCCCACGAGCCTGGGAATTAGGATAAAGAGATGGTGGATAAACTAAAGTAGTCAGGTACAGTTGGTTATTCTGCCTAACAATCTTTGGCACTCGGCCATGCCCTACGTTTGTAGGATACCTTATGTCGTACTGAATATAGAGTTACTCAAAAAGTTTCAAAAGTGTCATGATACCAGCCAAGTGGTATTTCCCCTTCTTTTATTGCGACACCTTACTTCCTGTCCTGACCCTCACTCAAAGGCGATGCCCAGCCCACTTTCAGTACGATCAATCAGATCGGATTTACTACGGTTGCTGTTAAACTCGCTTGATGGTTGCTGAATCCCCACGCCTTACTTACCTCAAGAAAATAATAATTTCCAAGAAGCAATGCCATGCGAGTACAAACTGTGTTTGCCAGATTGTAATTCCAATGAGTGAGGCGGGCGGCGGAACGACCTGCCATAGTTGGTTTAGCGGCACACTAGCCCCCGCCCCCGCGCAGCATCTCTCAGCCCTGATTGGACAGGACCTCCGCCTCGAACTGCCAAGATAGGACTAGATAGACGCAATATGCTTCATCTCCAGCGCTGTGACAGGCGTGATCAAGTGATGACTACTACTATCTACATCCCTTATCAACCTGTTCAGTCGGTTACACACACCCCTATGACCAGGTCACGCTCTCCTCCCCACCGCTACTGTCCCTTGCACCGTCCGCCCTATATCACCTCTGGACTCTCCTCCCCTACACAATAGTCTCCGCTCCTCTCCTCTCCTCCCCCACACCATACCATTCGAACCATCTACCCTCCCCACTTTCGTTGACTTAGATGGCGCTATCGCTCGATCCTCTCCGCCACCATTCGCACGTGTACACTATCGCCCTGTCCCAACCCACCCGCAGAGCCAATAGACGTTGATCCGATGACACCATGGCCATCGACATTGTTCTAATGACGGAGCGGGACATCCCCGCCGCCGTAAAGTGCGTGCAGACGGCATTTGCCGAGGATCCGTATTTCTGTTGGTTGTTTACAGCGTCACGGGTACGTCTTGCAGACCTTGCTTCATATACCTACCATTCATCCATACACATACATATAATCTCCATAAACCACACCATAAATAAAGGTAAATTATAGAAAACATGAATTAAAAACAAGAAATCAAAAAAATAGTACAACATCGACCGCAACGCCGCCTCTCTAACCGCGCACTTCCAATACGGCCTCAACTGCAACGCCCCAATGTACATTGCGCTCCAGCAATCCAGCACGCCCGACAAACCCGCCCGCATCGTCGGCGTCAGCTGGTGGTTCCCGCCCCCGCCCGCCGCCTCCACCTGGACAACCTTGGCGCAAGACTGGCTGCTGTCCGCGCGCCAGCTCGTCTTCAACATCCGGTTTGGCGGCCGCGGCGGGCTCAACCTACGCCGCTACCGGCTGTGGAAGGCGCTGCAGCGGGATGCGCACGCGAAGCTGTGGACGGACCCGCGGGGGTACTACTTCTGCAATGTGTTGGCGGTGGATGAGGCTGCGCGCGGGATGGGCGTCGGACGGAAACTGGTGGAGGTGGTGACGCGCAGGGCGGATCAGGAGGGTCGGCCGTGCTATCTGGAGAGTTCGCGCGGGATGCCGAATTTGGTAATTTATGGGCGATTGGGGTTTGAGGTTTTTGGGGAGGTGGATTGTGTGGATGGGGAGGATGTGTGTAAGGTTTGTTCTCTCTTTTCCTTCTTTCCTTTTTCTTTCCCTTTCTCACCCTTCTCTGTTACGCTTGGGTGTGTATTGGATGGTGCTAACCGGTGGTAGCTCTATTGCATGGTGAGGCAGCCGAAGGTGAAGGCTTAGCTGGGGAGAAGATCATGACTTATGACTTTACGTGATGCACTTTGGGTTTGATTTCTGTAACTGGCAGCTACTAAATTGTTTGATCATAGCTTAAGATGGATACTAATGATAGGAGTTTCACTTTTTTATTCCCCGCAATGCTATAGAATATGGAAAGTTAGAGTTGGCAGATCAGTGACATGAAACGTACCACTGCATCAGGTCATGTAGATCATCATTAATGATGGTTTGTGTCCATAAAAAGAGTCTGGAGGATCTTCAACCAGCGAAGCTAGGACATAATGACAGATGGAAGATCGTCTTAACGTGGATCTGGCTATATTGATCTCCGCATGGTATCACTTCCTAGTATGAAGCATATATATGAAAAATGATAGACAAACTAAAGAATGAATGGTTAATAGATTGAAGCACTGCATACACTCTAAGTAAAGAATGGCTCAAAAAGCAAGTAGCTATATCATCTTTATAGCATAAGAATAGGGCTAGGTCTACATGCCCTAAGCCATCGCATTGACTGGAAGAACGCCACCTTCTACCACTCATTCAGCTCCTGTAACAATACAAATGTCTTAATCAATAGTCTTCCGTAAACCTCAGGTGGCAGCATGACCTCCACTCTAGAACGTCGCATGGGATCGCCGACGGAGGCCCGATTGTGGCTGAATTGGCGGCTGGGCATTCTGGGATAGGAGGCTTGGTGATTGTAACTTTTCCTCCTTAGCTCCACTTTCAATATCTTTTAGGTAGATGTGATGGATTAATTCAATTCTGCCAACAAGCGATAGAACCAGCTAGATACATTATCCACTCGCAAGTCCTCCCCTATACAGGATCCCAGTCCGTACAAGTCATAACCAGACTAACCACCCTTGGCGAACTTCTTCAGCAAGGTCTCATCGCCATTCCACACCTCGGAGTCACCACCATACGCATACGCGTTCGAGTTCTGCCAGAACGACTGGAATTCCCATCCAGCGGGCAGGGCGCCCACGGCGCTGGCGTACCGCGCCACCACAAGCGGGCACTCGCCGAACTTGTCGCTGTTGCCCGTGCAGGTCGTCCACCAGTCGGTGGTGGTGTAGATCATGGGCTCGCGACCCGCCTTCGCCTTGTAAGTGGCGACGAAGTCGGAGATCCAGTCGACCATGGCCGACGCGCTGAGCCCGAAGCACGTATCGCCCGACGGGGCGTACTCGATGTCGAGCATGCCCGGGAGCGTGATCCCGTCGTTGGACCAGCCGCCGCCGTTTTTGAGGAAGAACTCAGCTTGCTCGGCACCGCTGCTGGAGTCGGGGTGAGCGAAGTGGTAGCCGCCTCGGATGATGTTGGCGCCGGTCGCGCCGTTGTAGTGCGTCGTGAAGGACTTGTCAACGAAGGTGGTGCCTTCGGTCGCCTGTATACTTATGTCTTAGTATGTGTGTGCAGGGTTAGAGGCTGGAAGAACGGGGAGACAGACCTTGATCATGACGAACCGCGCGCCATCGGCGTAGGCCCCCGCGAAGTCGACATTGGACTGGTAGTTCGAGATATCGAAGCCTTGCACGCCAGCGTAGGCCACGCGGGCGCCGGCCAGGAGGGAGAGAAGAGCCGTGGACTTCATGGTGTGTAGATTAGAAGTATTCTTGGGAAACTGGGAGTTAAAGGAAGATGAGGGGGAAATAACTGGGATGCCAGTCCGTATTTATGTCTGCGCACTGGGTCCATTTCTTCGTGTTGTTCGTGTTGTTCGTGTTTCTTGGTCTCCTTCTTCATGGCCGTCATATCAGGGCTTGTTTCACCACGCGACGGCGGCCGGATCCGATTAGCTCGGCTGGGCTTGGGTCGTATCGCCAGTAGACAGCACAACGCAGCTAACTGCTTGGACCGTGCAGCGCTAGGAAACACGGAGGTATAGCCCAGACCCTGATTGGCGTGACCGATAATCAGGTGCATGTTTAGTCGGGATTAGTGGGGTCCTGCCAATTACTTTGGAGACTGTCTGTTCTTCACCCCGGATAAGTGTTAGTCGGGATCCACATATTCTCCTTCATCAATTGCCCAAATTACATGCTTCGACGCCACGACGCCACGCGACGGAGACGATACGCCTTCACATTTAGTTTGCTCCGGGCATTGATGGGAGACCTGGTCAATTGGGTACGTCGGGGTACTACGACGGCGAAGAAGCCGCGGCTCAGCCGTACAATGCATGAAAACGGCTCCAAGCGACTCGAATGGCCATCCTGGCGAATAGAATTGCGAGCTAGATCTGGAAGTGGATGAATACGAAGGCCTGGAGTGTTCTTCGTTTCGTTTCTATACGGAGTAGTCTCGGGATTTTTGTGCTCCGAATGGAACTAATTGCCCGGTGTACATCAATATTCGGTACATTGACATGGTATAGGACGACATGGAAACTGACTTGGCTGTTCCCCGTAGGAAGGACCCCTGCCCCTTGCGAGACCAGAATCCCACAGCCGCGACACAGATCATGATCGCAACAACAAACATAAGAAAGCTGATGATGATTAGTATTATCGTAACATTCGTCATGCGTAAGTCTCTCCGAACAGATTGGTTCAGGACCCGACCACTGACGCATAATCTAGAAGTTCCCCTAGATAATCGAGCCAAGGCCAATGCATGGCAGCTGGAGGCCGACAGCGTCCTCGTCCTATACAAATCGAGATTAGCACATGCATGTGTTTAGCGTGGAGGATAAACCGGAAATACGACAAGCACATACCGCAGATCCACCGCTCTTTTGGCAGCAGGCAACATTCTGCTTGCACTCCTGGTTGAGCAGATCTTGGACACCAAGGAGAAGGAGGATATTCACTACAGGAGTCAAAGCATCAGTAACCATTCTAGTAAACGAATGGAAGCAAATCAGATGGAGAAGAACAGGAGGGACCCACAGCTCAAATCTAGTTTGGAGCAGCCGGAGAAAAGGCCAACTCCCTGCGAGCCAGCGCCGGCTCCGAGCACGTCAGAGACAACGCCGCTGTTGACTTTGGTGTCGTCACCAGTGTACGTAGCGTCGTTGCAGCAGGACAGCCGGGCCTTGTCGCCGCATCTCTGCCGGGCCTGTTCGACGGTCATTCCATCTGGGCTGGGTGGAGGATGTTGCCTGGTCGTTGCTGAGCAAGTTCGTCCTGGGAGAGTGCGACAGCGGCGGCGGCCATGAGGGCACCGAGGGCAATGAGAGTAAACTGCATCTTTTTTTGCTTGTGCTATTTTGCAGTTCTACTATTGAGAGGAGAAAAAAAGATGGAAGGATGAGTGGGAGAGAAGAAAGAGTGTGTTAGGCAAGAAGGCAGCTATATACGGGGGACGACCTGTCGTCGCGTCGTGACCAAATTTGACACACGACACTGTAGAACCAAGGAGCTACATTGCAGTGCTAGGAGCACCCGGGGTTTTGGTCCCCTGCGCCGTTTTCGACTCAGTTGCGAAGGGGGCGCCGTATCCGAATGTGTGGACTCAGGAGCTGCGACATGTAACCCAGTCTCCAGTGGAGAAAATCTTTGATATCGCCCAGCATCTGGGGGGTTCGGATTCAAAGGTGGAGTAGCCCTAGTGCTGAAGACGAGGAACAGAGTCATCGACTTAGGAAAAGGGTATCGTACCAGGTTTTTCAGGACATCGAGTTCCTCCCTTGCTTGGATGTCGCAGTGTCATTTACTTGCTTGACTTGGGCCAACCCTCCCTTTGGCTTTCCTTATCTCGTATGCTATATTACCAAGCATCATACCCCGTCTTGGATGATCATTTTGTTGATCTTGTGGGTTGTATGTTATTCTATGCCGAATGTTCGCAAGCTCCATTTGGTTCGCAAAGTTTAGGCCGAACACACCGAGCTTTAACCTCTGGGATGTTATAACCAGACAAAAGAATGTTTGAAGAACGCGACAATGACCAGCACCAGGTTTTGGCAGACAACCAAACTTCTTAGAACAATGCTCAAGTCAAAAGTTGGATAACCCTGGTAGAGACAGTTGAATTGTGACTCGTCAGTGTTACCACTGACTCCTTCAGCAATGATCCTTATCTCTTGTAGATTTCAATTGGAACATTCCGTCACACCGGACACAATGTCATGACGGAAACTTTTGAGGAGGATTCGAATGCCGTTAAAAGGGCAGATTTCCTGCTTTGACCAAGAGCAAAACGAGCCAATGTCTGCATGAGTTAGGAGAGTGTTGTGAGATAGTGGCACGGTTCCACATGTCCTTTCGAATGAACTCGCGTACATACTGGCGGTGTGTGTGAGATGGAGATAATCTTTTGTGATCTGAAGTCAACAGCACTCGACATGTCACAGTGGAGACAGCAAAGCGCTAGGTTGCCCGCATCGCAAGCGCAGTAGCCACTCAATATATAGATGCATCTATCCAGGAAGCATTGGCGTGGTCGAGAAAAAGACCGCTGCCTAGTGCGCCTGCGTAGTAAAAAGCGTGGAATCTCCTGTGCAATTCAATGCGCCCAAGTGTTCTTCTTGCAGCTCGTCCCTGCCGTTCCTGTCAGTTGCGGCCATGGTATCTGTGCTTCAGATCGTTGTGATACTGGCATGGGCGTTCGCACAAGCCGAGTCCAAGGCAGTGTTTGCCCATTTTATGGTATCTCCCACACCACTTGCGGTTCAATTGACAAATCTAACACTCGAACAGACAGGCAATGCAGAGAACTACACAGCGGAGGACTGGCAAAAGGACATCTCCCTCGCCAAGAAAGCTACCATCGATGCTTTCGCCCTGAACATGGGCATGAACGATCTGCATCCTGACTCGCTTTCTAAGGCATTCTCCACGGCCAAAGACCAGGACTTCAAGCTCTTCTTCTCCTTCGACTATGCCAGCAACGGCAGCTGGCCGCGGGAGCGCGTCACCGACCTATTAAAGCAGTACAAGGACCACTCGGCTTACTACCAGCACAAGGCGCAGCCATTCGTATCAACCTTCGAGGGATTCGACAAGGCCTCCGACTGGAAGAGCATCAAGAAAGAAATTGATTGCTTCTTCGTCCCGGATTGGAGCGCCGTCGAGCCTCACAAAGCCGCCCGTCACAGCGTTGTTGATGGCCTGTTCAACTGGAATGCTTGGCCCGAGGGCCCGCGCGCCATCAACACCACCGTGGACGAAGACTTTTTGGATGCGCTCGACGGCCGCAGCTACATGATGCCCGTGTCGCCCTGGTTCTACACAAATCTGCCCGGCTTCGACAAGAACTGGGTCTGGCGCGGCGACAACCTCTGGCACGACCGGTGGCAGCAGGTGTTCCAGCTGCAGCCCGACTTCGTGCAGATAATTACCTGGAACGACTTTGGTGAATCCCATTATATTGGACCTCTGAATGACGCCCGTTCCGTGGTTTTCGGGCCTGAGAAGGGTGACGCGCCGTTTGATTACGCGAGAAATATGGAGCATGATGGCTGGCGCACGCTGTTGCCATACCTCGTGAGCCAGTACAAGTCTCCCGAGAACAAGACAACGCTGGCTATCGCTGAAGAGACCGTCGTTTCTTGGTATCGGCTTCATCCGGGCAAGGCCTGTCGCGCTGGTGGTACGAGGGGAAATGCGCCGGACCATAGGCAGAAGGAATATCCGGCGTCGGAGATTCTCGAGGACCGCATTTTCTACTCTGCGGTTTTGAATTCCAATGCGAATTTGTCAGTGAAGGTTGGCGATGACCCATCGACTGCCCGGTGGGAGTCTGTCCCTGAGAATGGTAAGGGTATCTACCACGGGAGTGTTCCATTTCAGAGCACCGGGCGCGTGGAGGTTGCTGTGACGCGGCACGGAAAAGAAGTGGCAACTATGCGGGGCGAGCCGATCACGTCGAAATGCCCTGACAGTGACAAGGGACTGCAAAACTGGAATGCATGGGTGGGACAGTCAGGATCTGCGAGTGTGCGTGTTCCTTGGGAAATCTTCGCTGTTGCTGTTTTGCTGGTGAGCTTGGTGTAATTAGCATCGAGCAGCGACTCGATCAACGACGAGGGACAAGTGGCATGAGCGAGTACATGGATTGTGTACATAATAAACATGAGTAAATAGAGAATTTCGATTGATACTAGTAAATTTCATAGGTAAGACTATGATTACTCTACCACTCACGGTACGAGTAACCATCCTACTCAATCCGCGCAATCACCAAACAGTCGACCCATGAACGCCATTTCAAAACGGTTGTACTTTTTCCAGCTTAAATGATAATATTCACGTAGCTTTGCCAAGGCCCCATACCGTGACCTGGTGTTGTTTTGTCTGGCTTCGCTGTTGTTGGGCTCTATTCACCTCTCGAGTTTCTGTCCGTGTATGTCTTTGCTCTTCGATAAAGTAAAGATCAAAGTAAATGTAATCAGAAAAGCCTCGCAAAAATAACCCAATGCGAGGCATTTCAAGTTAGATAGTAAAAGTTGTACTTGCCGTATTTTCGGGTCGTCTAAAACACGACATCTTTCATAAGGAATGAGAAGCTATTGTTAGGATCAGTGGTGGAGTTCACCTCCAGCGAACCATCGCTCAAAGGTGTCTCATCCATCTCGTGCTCAATAGGGGCGACCCATTGCGCGACATCTAAATCGAGCAGGTGGGCATGGCGACTAAATTTGCATGGTTTTGTACCCTTGCAGCCATCCCTCTGGCAAATATGACCGAGATAGCACTTCAAAGAGCGGCAGCTAGGCCCCCTAGAACAGGCGTGCTGGCGCAGGATATACTGCATCACGCTGACGCACGTGGACTCTAAGTTACTGTGGTCATATTCGCAGCTGAGGTCCCCACATTCACCACCGAGGTGGTATTTGTTGCACAGCCTATGCTGCTTGGCTCGTCGGTTATAGGCATCCCAGGCGTCGGGAGAGGGCAAAGGACTGTAAGTGTCCAGACGCTCTCCGTTCTTATTGACGGCTATGAATTCCCGGGATTTTCTACTGTCTCTCGGCAGATGACGCGAGAAGTAGGCTTGATCGCGAGTTGGGACAGGCGTACGCCACGGGGGCGGGGGGCTACGGTCTTGTTGCTTAGAAACTTGAGGATTGGAGGCGATATGGAGTTTGGTGCAATCGGCCCCATATCGGCAGGTACCCTACAACTGGGTGGTGAGCGTGGTGACGAAGATGATGTGATGGGTTCGTACCTTTTGGAAGTGTTTGCAGATAGGCCGCGTGGGAGTAGCGGGAGTTGAGGGTACGTGCGTACTACCCAACGGAGTTGACATAAACACGGACGGCACTTCCCTGATAGATAAACCGAGACTTTCAAACTCGGGGTGGAATGATGCGGCCCTGAGAAGGGTAATGCGTTCCGACTTGCCAACGTAGGGGGTCAGCAAAGACAGATAGCCAGTATCATGACATCCCGCAAAGAAGATATGTTTACACTGATTGTTCTCTACAAACAACCGGAAGAACTCTAGTACGGGTTAGCAAGGGCGCCATAGTGAACAGGGTGGCGCAAGTCTCCGTCCACCCACCTCTAATCTTATAATCCGCGCCCTCTTTCTTATCCCCGGCATCGATATAGTCGAACAAATCCTGAGAACGAGTAAAGCTCGAAGCAAACGGCGATAGAGACCGTGCTTCGTTTCCAACCAGCCCGTTACGGGCTAGTGACCGGGACAGCCCCAAAAGATTGGAATAAATGCGAACCATGATCCGGCACTGATCCGCTTGAGGACCTAGTCGCTCATGGAGGAGTTCCTTGATCGAATCGTTTAATAAACGCGCCGCAGTGATGCCGCCTTCTGCCGACGCACGAATCAGATGTTCCTTGAACTAAGCTTGTATTAGAAACAACCAAGGTTATCAATTTAGAGCCAAAACAACTAACCTGGTAGCCATCGCCGTCAATCAACACCAATGCAAAAGGGTTCCGCTCCTTGTATTGTTAGCTGAAAACCCGGTACTTGATGGATGCGACCTACCTGTCCACGCGCCAGCTTCTTATACTTCTCCCGGTTCTCCCGCTCCTCCTCATAATCACTCCGGAGCTGGTTGTAACTATCTAGAAGGAGCTGAAACCGTTCCAACAGACCCTGTACACGCTCATGATGCTGTTCATTATCCTGGATGATGGAGCCCACATGGCTGTCCAAGGCTTGGATATCAGCGTCCCGTAGCATGATGTTGATGTCGTTTTGGAAGTGGGGATTATAGCGGGGAAATTTCCACGAGGGACAGGTATATAGCCCAAAACAGGTATCAGGCCTCCCAGCAGTTAGGTCTTTACGTGTCAGTGTCAATCAGGAAGGACCGCGTGTAGATCGGCGAGAGCCGTTGGATGGCAAGGTTGGACATGCGGGTTGAGGATGGTGAGGGGAAAAAACGAGAAAACCCAAATTGAAGGCGGGGCTAGTATGTCCTTGATGCCTAGGTAATCAGAATCAGTGACAGGAGATCTTCAGCACCAGACTCTACCACTCACACTATCTTCACTGATCCATTGTCACCAGTCGTTGTCCCATCTGATTGTTTGTGATTGTCGCTTAAACTTTAGAAATGATCCATCAACATTGTTTCTGTTTAGGCAGGCGGTGAGCGATGAAACGTGGGGGCTGTCATGTCACCTGATGGGCACGTGCGTCAATCGCGGAGCTGTCCCGATAAGGACATTTGCTGCCTGAGGACGATAGGGTCGCTGCCTTATGACATCCACCCCGATTTACTTCCCTTCTTGACTCTTCATCTTCTTCCCTTCTGCTTCTCTGCTGCCTAGTGTACAGAAGTTGACAAGGTATAACGCCATGGTTTTATTGTCATTCTGTCACGAAATATCTCTTCGCCCTCTGCTGACATACGTCGCATCAAAAACACTAATCATACAGCACATATCACATTTCCAGTGTTCATTGGTTTCCTGCGCATAGAATGCAGGCGTCGGTCCCACCTCATCTATGTCGACTTCTTGCTCTTGGGGGCCACCCGCTTGATGCCTCCCATTTCGTTCATGACCAGCTCGTCACGCTCCCAGAGCAGCTCCACAGCCGCAGCAGTAGGGCCGGCCACAAGACTGAGCATGACTACCTTAGTGACGAGACCCAGGCAACCGACACGACCATAGACAACGCGATGCGCACTCTTGTACACGCTGACAGCCCAGATCAGTACTCCAGCGGAGCCGATCAGGTAGTCCCATCGCAGAAAAGCATGCACCCCCTCACCAAGTGTGCTCACCTGCGCGACAGGCGAGGCCCACGGCTGTGGGATATCAAAAACCTTGAATGGATGAAGCGCACCCACATACTCGGGTTTGAAGATAGACGGGGCAACAACAGTCGACAGAGAGACAATCCATGAGACGAGGTGAGTGACGGCAGCGTTGCCAAAGGCATAGGCATAGACACGGCGCAGGGCGCGCTGGGTCGCACGGCCGTCGTCGATGTTCCGGTCGTTGCTGACAAAGGGGCTGAACACAATGTTCACAAGCACGAGCAGGATGGAAGTGTATGCAGGCCAGGGCTGCCACAGGGCGATAAAGATCTGCTTCAAATCCGTCGTGATCTGCTCCGATCGAGGTAGGATCAACAGCGCGCTGGGGACCACGAAACCGATCGTGAACACCAGCGGGATGGCGTTGAGCACGGCGCGGGGTACGCGAATGTTCTCGGCATTGGGCTTGCGAGCCGTAACCGAGAAAGATAGATGCAGACACAGGAACAGCGGGGTTGCGAAAGCAAAGGTGAGAACCTGGGCCGCGAGTCCGAATGCCATGGGGCTATAGGCGATATCCAGTCAGTGTGGGGGTTTTGGAGTGTGGGGAAAGGAAGGGGAGCTTACAAGGCGACGATGGTCCACGCATTGCCACGTCTCCAGGCCTCCAGAGTCACCAGTACCCAGGCCGACCCAAATGTACCGGAGAATCCGAGGGAATGCAGTGTCAGAGTTGGATGGCTTCCGTCGGTGGCTGGCCAGAAGAAAGTCGTCAGGATAGACAGCAGCTTGTCGATCTGCGGCACGCCCGTGTATACGGTGCGCAGTGGTTCCGCGGTTCCAGGCAGGATCTGTGACTCGACAGCCTTGTCCGCCAGGGCGCGCGCATTATTTATGTCGGCATAGTAGAAGATGGTATAGACAACAAAGACGCTGAGCAAGGGTAGAAGCAGCTTGGCAACCATGATGACTGAGGCTTACAGTGCTTGCGACCGGGGAAATACGTTCGCAGTAGTCTACCAGGGACGCGGGGGAAACACAACCAGGGGCGGCGTATTTATAAGAAATGATTTCTGGCTAGTCGTGACATGATCCATCTGACCGCATATCAACATCGGTTATCGGGACTGAGATGCGGGATCCAACAATCCAGAAAGGGAATGTGTTGCGACCAATGCGGAGGAATCGATGTCGATCATCAGGACCATCGCGTTGGAACTCATGTGGTCGTGGATCTCGAGATCCATACCGAGGCTACAACCGAGACCCGGGGATGGGCCCAGGTATCCAATTCGCTTCATAAATATCATGGCCCTACTATGGAGTACGCGGGGAATTATTTATCCCACGCATTGTTCGCTGGGCTTCCGTTTCGTGACGGGCCCACTACTCTAGCGCAACGCGATCAATGCCACCGCTCGCTGGATCTACACGCGTGTGTTTTTTTGTCCACTCGCTCTACCTTTGGGCTATATGCTACAGCGTGTAGCACATCCACTTGACAAATTGACAAGCTGATTGATGCTATCCATGAGTTGTATCCCTCCCCGGAATATCATTATGGAAGCCATGTGTCGCACTGGATATATGATTACTTACTACGGCCAAAAGTGTCATGATGTCTTATGCAGACAAGTGGTGATATCCTGCAACAGAGCCTTATGTAGAACCTGTTTGCTACAACCCTTACTTACCACTTCGGTGGGCGTGTTCCTGGCAAGAGCCTCGCCGTGGTGTCTCCACGGCTCATGATATACTCACGAATGTGTTGTCATCCCGAAGCGGTATTTGCCATGGGAGATTTGCGTGGAACTGGTTGGTTTCTGTTCCAAACACGGGATGGGCTTAGTCAAATGGTCTGCGATGGTCATGCTGGTTCCTAGCGAGAAGTAAAATATGTCTGTCTTCGAGGGCTTTCTCAAAGAGATCGCTATTATCTAGGTCTACTAGACAAGCCAGATGAAAGGCAACGGGAATGAATACGCCTGTCTGTCCTGCGCTGTGCATCAGACTTGATGCGCTCCTTTCCGGGTAGAATACTGATTTTGATAATGGCTTGCGAATCCCTGTGTCTGGTATGGCCAGATTGAATATACGTAGCTGTGGCATCGGCGGCAAGGGCCGAGGGTGTACATATGACTTGAGGCATTGTACACTAGCTCAATGACTCTTTTCTGGATATCATCGTCCAGCCCGTTACTCGGCCATGTTTTCGAAACAGCTTTACAGTCTCACCTTGCTTGAGGCGTTCATCGACGCCACCCAGCTTGCTTCGTCCTCTGTGATGGCGTCGCAGGATCAGTTTTTACCTCTAACATGGGCAAAGAATTGAATCTGTGACATTGATCGCCAGTACTAATAGATTTAAAGAGCGGTTGGTTCTTGAATACCTCTTTTCGACCTCGACACCCGCTGGTTGGTAGATTCCAATGTGAGTTTCACGGGTCCTGAGTGTCATTCACTCGTCATCCATACTCAATCTTAGGCATCAGAGCAAACTTTTCCCCTCCCAAGATTCTAATTCGCATTTCTGTGCCCTGAACATGAGGAATTCTCCATCCTTCTTTTTGAAACATCTGCCCTCCTAGGTATTCTACTCAAAGATATCCCATCCAGCCCAGGCAGCGAGAACTGCCAAAACAAGCACACAAAAGACAGAAGAACTAGGATGCTGCTTTTTTTCAAAAGGGAGAAAAAGCCCACTTGCACTGCCCACGATCTGGAGTCGTCCAGTGACTGGAGTTTAACCCCCAAAAGGAGCCTAGAAGAACCCACACAGCCCTCAAAGCCATTGACAAGAAGAAGAATCGCAAGTCAAGCAGCAGCAGCCTTCTTGGTGGTGGTCGTCGTCATCTTGGTGCTCAGTCTCCCATTCATCATAATGCGGAGCCAACGCTCGAGGCACCACGAAGACCCCAGTTACCACAATGCAGGGTACCATCCCATCAATGTCCTTGATGATTTCCCCGATCCGGGTATGGTCCACTTCAATGGGACTTGGTTCGCGTATGGCACAGACACAGGGACAGGCATTGCGAATGCGCATGTTCCCGTCGCTACGTCGGATGATTTCATCGTCTGGCGCAGAAAACCGGGACATGACGCGCTGCCCACCCTCGGCGGCTGGGAGAGGACAATCAATCACTGGGGCCCCGACGTGATCCAACGCGTAAGTAGCCACCTCCCACCGCAAAGCTGTGCTTGCGTAGACTAATCCCCTATAGGACGATGGCAAATTTGCCCTCTATTATTCGGGCGAGCACCAGGCCCAGACCCATCACCATTGTATCGGGGTCGCCATTTCTTCATCCAAGGACCCACTTGGCCCCTTCTACCCAGAATCGACGCCCCTCGCCTGTCCCCAGGATCCGGGTAGCGCCAGCGACCCGTCCCCTTTCCGCGACGCCGACGGCTCACTGTACGTCGTGTACAAAGAGAACGGTCACGGGGGCGGCTGCGGCACCGGGAAGAAGCGGGACTCGCGCGTCCGGATACTCCTCCAAGAGCTAGGTCTCGACGGTGTGACCCCCAGGGGTGCCGCCGTCGAGATCCTGCACAACGAGAAAGACGACGGCCCGGTCGTCGAGGCCCCGAGTATCGTCCGCGCGCCCCACGGGCGGTACTTCCTGTTCTTCTCGTCGCACTGCTACTCGTCACCCTACTATGACATGAAGTATGCGTCCGCCGAGACGCTGCGCGGCCCGTATACCCGTGCCCGGCGCGCGCTGCTCAAGACGGGCGATTTCGGGCTCAAAGCGCCCGGTGGCGCTACGGTTGCTGCGGACGGGTCCAGGATGGTGTTCCATGCTGATTGTGGGAGGCAGTCGTCCTGGAAGAGGTGTATGTATGTTGCGGGTGTGGATATGGGTAATGATTCGGGGGAGAAGTCGACTGTGCGCCTTGGGTCGTTGTCGGCGCTCTCTAACTGATAGGTTGGTCGTTTTCTTTTCTTCTTCTTATGTTCCGGTTATCGTTGATTCTTTTATTATCATTATTTGTTCCTTCCTTCCTTCATTCCTTCTTTCCGTTTGAAACGAATTCCTGGTTTAACTCATGTATTGAAAAAAAGCCTTGTCTTGGTCACTTTTGTCGAAGCCACCTAATCACCAGAAAGAATATCTACTTAATAGTACTTGCCATACCGAATGCATACTAAATATGGAAACAAATGGATGATAATAATAATAATGATAATAACACATGCAATCGCCCTCAGATTAGCTCTCAGGTTCTCACGGGTTTCCAGGCCGATGTGGAAGCGCCTAAGCGCAGGCCGGATACCATACAACTTTGGCTTTTGGAATAACCTCGTCACTGGGCGATTGCATGTGCTATGGGTTGTGTGGGTAGGGGAAGCAAAAAGCTGGGGCGCGGTTAGTGTGGTAGGAAGAGTAAGCTTGGGCTTATGACAGATGGTCGATGTCGGATGAAATGAGGTTTGAATTGCGACTTAAATCTAGTGACTTAGATACATGTATCTTGTAAGTATCTGTCGGCGTATATTCAATCCAAGAGCATATGAAGGGTGAGAGAAAAACAACAAGCATGCTCAAATCGACCTGCCATGTCAGATTGAAAACTACCTTTGTGTTTTTCTCTCGTCATTGATCTGCCCGACATCGTTACTTCGCGAGTGACATATGGAGCAATTGACGCCTCAGAGAGAATGATTTTCATCATTTGGCTGGGATTCGAGGGTTTGGTTGAAACGACAAGCGGCAGTATGAGGGGACTAGATAGGTAAGCAGGTAGCATATGCATGGTAAGCAAAGGTGAGCAACAAGGTTTAGCAGGTCAATCTGACTATGCATGTCAATGTCCCTTACGTTGATCGCAAGAGACCAGTCTTCTGTGATCAGATACAGCGGGTGAGATATAACTTTCAGTCCACAGCATTAGAGGACGGCAGGAATGAATCCTCCATACTTGACGTATATACGAGTGTCGCAACAACGCCACGCAGAGAAGCAATTATAGCTTGACCAATCCCTAAGATCTCTGTTCAATCTCAATCATTCACGCTGCAGCTAGTGTCCTCTTCCATTCGATTGCCAGAGCTCTCGAAGGATGAGGTCCACTGCCTTGGGTTTTTTTCCCGATACAGATGTCATAAGATGCTCTTGTGTTTGTTATCGTCATTGAGAATAGAAGCGTACTTCTCCGCGCTAAGCCCCTGTTAGCGATACATCATCAATTGGCTATGTGAAAGGCGCGAAATACCTGGCGTTGCAGCGTGCGACGTACGTTGTGTTTGTGTTGGAGAAGGCAAGGGGAAACCGCCAAGTGACGCATTTTCATGGGTGTCCCGGCACGTGACCGCCTATCATCTTCGGGCATTTCGCTGGGCCGGACCGAAAATGCGGTTTCGTCATTCTACAAATTGACAGCTGTTGGACCACAATACATGATGGTAAGACCCCTGATGCACCGGGCAAGGCCTTTAATGCTGAAAGTTTTAGGTCTGAATGTCCTACAATCTTTTTTGAATTGTCCGTGTCGAAATTGGAGGAACAGCGTGAAGAATGTCTTCCTGGATCCAGCGTCACGCCAACACCCACCAGTCTCAACTGGCGGCGACCGCTGTGATCTCGGGCGCCGCAGTTGCAGGCGCAATCCTGGGATACCAGACATACCGCCGGAAGGAAGCAGTCAAAGGGCTCAAGGCTTCGATCCCCGATATCAACGAGCGCCACCATGCCGAACCACTCACCGAGTATGGGACTGCGCCCGCGCCCATGAGCAAGGAGGACGAACGCAGCGCGTCTCTCGCGCGCAGGGCACAAGAAGGGGACTACGATGATGGTACAGGAGACATCTCCGGTTTCAGCGCTATCAGGTTCATCCGCTAACCAATGCTTCACCCGTTTAGACCTCATCCTCGAACAACTCGCGCGCAACCGCGTTTTCCTCGGCGACGAAGGCCTCGAGAAACTCCGGTCAGCGTTCATTATTGTGGTCGGCTGCGGTGGTGTTGGGTCGCACGCTGTGGCTTCTTTGACGCGGTCGGGCGCGGCCAAAGTCCGGCTCATCGACTTCGACCAGGTCACCCTATCCTCTTTGAACCGACACGCCGTCGCCACGCTCGCCGATGTCGGAACACCAAAGGTGCACTGCATCCGCCGGAGACTGGAACAGATCACTCCGTGGGTGCGGTTCGACTGCCGGAACGAGCTCTTCAACGGATCGGCGGCGGAGGACCTCCTAGCCCCGTGGAGCATGGACGACGGCGACCAGGGCCGGAAACCGGACTACGTGCTGGACTGCATCGACAACATCGGCTCCAAGGTTGAACTGCTTCACTACTGCCACCAACACTCGATCCCGGTGATCTCGTCTATGGGCGCCGGGTGCAAGTCGGATCCCACGCGCGTCACGGTGGCCGACATTTCGGCCGGCACAGATGACCGATTGTCGCGTAGCACGCGGCGACGCTTAAAGGCTCTCGGCGTCAGCACGGGGATCCCCGTGGTGTTCTCGACGGAGCGATCAGGCCCCGGCAAAGCCAGCCTCCTCCCCCTGTCCGCGGATGAGTTCTCTAAGGGCGAGGTCGGGGAGCTAAGCGTGCTGCCTGATTTCCGGGCGCGCATCCTGCCCGTCCTGGGGACACTGCCTGCTGTTTTCGGGTACACGCTTGCCAACCACGTTATCTGCGATCTGGCGAACTATCCGATCGATTATAGCCTGGGCGGAAAGGGCCGCGACAAGGTCTACGATAGCGTGCTGGGCACTCTGCAGGGCCTGCACGAGCGCTTGGCCCGGTTGCAGGTCGGCCACCAGGTGGTGGGCCTTCGCTTGCCCCTGACGAGGGACGACGTCGGATACCTCCTGGACGAGATATACCACGGAAAGAGCGTGGTGACGGGTCTGCCTAGCAAGCCTGCGCTTGTTCCCTGGCAGCGACCAGCTCGGGGCTGGGGTCCGGACCCTGAATGGGAGAAGGAGGGACAGAAGTTTGTCCCGATTCAGTTGAAGGACTTCGTGTGTATGACGAAGGAAGAAGCGGCGCGGCACGAGAAGAACGTGTTGCTGGGTGATAAGACGGTGGAGGAGATGTATGACCGGAGCGTGGTTGAGAAGGTCAATGAGCGGCGGAAGGAGTTGGAGGCGTATGAGAAGGATGTGTGACGAGTTTAGTGATTTAACGAGTTTGATGTATATTAAAATGTATAGACATGGTGATGCTTATATCTGCCACCTCGCTTTACTTCGCTTCCCGAGTGTTCAATATGGGGAAGTAAATATGGTATCGTGTCCGTCGCTCAGTTGACTGCCTCCATCTCGCGATCTGCCTCCCATACTGTTTTGTTTCGAGACTGGCACAGTCCGGAATTGTCTTTTAGTAGAGACAGCGATGAAAAGCGGGGGGGATATTCTGACTGTGCCGCTACTGGAAGATCCAGAGACATCCATTATAAGCGTATCAAAAGCACCTGTCTAATAATGCCCTCTCAGTCTGTACTTAGTGGATTATTTCAAGAGTCTAAGGCACCACTGCTTACCATATCAAGGTGCTTAGCAATTGCCCTCTGCGCGCTTTTTAAAACGGAGGCCATGCATCATCCAAGGATCAAAGAGAAGCTCTTTGGCGGTGGCCCGTTCTTCAGGCAGCCAACATAGGGCCCGTCGGAGAAGTCCGACTGTTCATCACCGTGGAGATTTTCTTCCCAGGATTCGAGGTTATAATCAGGGAGAGGAGCTGCGCCATTCCATTGGCCTATATATAGAATCAATTATCAGTGCCAAGAGTATGATATTGTGCGGAGAGATTAAACCAACCATTTTCATGCCAATATTGCAGACTCTTCTCGCTTCGGGAGAGGAATTCGCGGGGAGGACACCCTAAGAGCGCGTGCATCTCGCCGAGATGCACGCCGTCATCTAATCTGTGATCAGGGCTTCGAGCCTTGAAAAGGTGGTGACGCTCCATCAGGTCCCAGATCTTGGCTACTGTCAGTTTCGAGATTGTTGTACCTCCAAAATAATCCCATAGATGAACATCTTACCACCATTCCAACCTTCCAGATATCGACCTTATAGTCCCAATTCATATCCAGGACGACCTCCGGCGCGCGATAGACATCAGGCATGATGTCACCCGTTGCTGGGCAATTCTCACTCGAGCCTCGCCTAAATCGCAGAGAACGGGCGTCCCAGGCGAGATGGGGAGGGGCCGTGTGACGTAAATAGTACGATCCTCGAGTGTCTTTCGGGGGGTCGGCGCATCGAATTCGGCCTGCTCGAAATTTAATAAGATCGAGTCGTCCTTGATACCAAGTAGTATATTATTTGGTTGTAGGTCTACAATGTTAGTTCTTACTTGATCTGAAGCTAAATTGACTCTCTTGAAATGAATGAAACTGAGGCTAATCAGTATACATAACTCCTGCCTTCGTGTGGAGGAAGTCTAGAGCGGCCAGGATATTCCGCATGGTTGTCCTCACCATAGCACTGGTCATGACTTGACCCGGGAGTAGTAGGGTGAGCTGGTCAAGACTATTCCCCAAAGACAGATGCACCAAGCAAGTGTGCATTCTATGGCCATCTGTATTGCGGGTGTGGAAGATGTCAGTTAACGGTCAAAGGCATTATTGCCCCGTGTGGTCAGACTGAGTGGTTTCTAGATGATTATAAACGCCGATCTCTCGAGTCGGAGATGGTAATGCAGTGTATGCATTTCATATTATAAAGCCATGGCCCTATCCTGTTACATTGGGGACAGAGATTGTAGTCAGCCCTCTTACCTTAGATCTCGACAAAGCCACACCGTCGCACTAGATCCATATCCTAACTTGCCCACTATCTGGTACCGGTGATTCAAAATCTCGCCGATATGAGCTGGTTAGAATCTTTTCGGTTTGTAAGTAAGGATCATCTCTTCCTCAATCAAGCAGGATGGGTCGATATTATCCCACCCAGAACTCGGGAAGACACGCGGCGTTGACGAGCGAAGATCAGCCATGCCGCGATTGATTGCTCGTCTGAAAGGCGAGGTATTCCGATACAAGAATGAGCATACAAGTTGTCTTCCAAGAGACGGCATCTTCGTCTTCTCTGCATGGTTCATAACAAGGTGGAACAATCGACTGTTGTTGATACCGATCCGTCACGTGTGTACCTAGATCTGGGGGCTGGTCCGATCTAACCGGGTTTGGCCTAGATTGTGATGCCTTGCCGATCCCGACGTCATTCTCTGCCAACCAGAAACAGTCCAGAACCACCGCGGTGATTGTTGTCAGAAGAACACACGTATCAAAAGCTCTATATATATCTAGGGATAGAGCACCGCTCACTGACACCGGTCATCTACCAAGGTCGCGTCTCCACCATCTGCTCCAAGAACAGCGGGAGCGTGTGTCTGTCATCGATACTCCATCTAGCTCTACACCACATACAACCAGAATTTGGGTTTCGAATCCACCTACACTAGTAGATATCTACGTTGATCGAGAAGAGGAACACTCTAGCCCATGGTACCGCGGCTGTGGCGCCACCCAACAATATACCTGGTCGTTATACTCGCGTGTCTTATAGGACGGAAGCTCGTGCTCTCGCCGTGGCTGCAACCGCTACCGAATACCAATATGGGTCCCGACGCGGAGAACACACCCGATGAGGTCAACGTACAGTCTGCGCTCGAAAACCTCATACTTATGAAGACATTGGATCCGGCACTGCTACCGCAAAGGAACATCTCCGCAGCCGAAGCAAGCAGCTCGCGACGGTTGGTATTCGTGGGCGATGTGCATGGGTGTCGAGATGAGCGTGCGTTCTACCCTTTGATAAACCCACATTTTCATCTTCCCTCCCTCTCTATACACCATGGAAAGAACATTGTTCATATAACCAAATACACAGTGGAACGCCTTCTCCAAAAAGTATCCTTCAACCCCAACAACGACCACCTCATCTTCACCGGCGACCTCATCAACAAAGGACCCGACAGTCTCGGTGCAGTCGACCTCGCCCGGAGGTATTCAGCCTCCTGTGTGCGGGGGAACCACGAAGACCGCATCCTACGACTACGGCGCAAGTTGATCGCTCCGAGCGGCGCAGTCGACGAAGAAAAAGAAGACAAGCACAGCGCACGCGACCGCCCGCTCGCGCTGGCTCTCAACGACGACCAGGCGCAGTGGCTGGAGGCGTGTCCGGTGATCTTGAGAATTGGTCGTGTCCCCGGCATGGGCGAAGTGGCTGTTGTGCATGGAGGCGTCGTGCCGGGTGTGGAGCTAGAGAAGCAAGACCCGGAGAGCGTGATGACTATGTTGACTATTGATTCTAAGACGGGGGAGCCGAGTTCGAAGAGAGGTCGGGGCGACAAGTGGGCTAAGGTATTTCTCTCCTTTTCTCGTGGTTACCTTCGATATGGGTGTGATTTCTAGGGCCCCGCTAATCAAGGAAAAGGTCTATAACAAACACCAATCAGCCATACTCACCAAATCCAAGCCCAAAGAAAAGGCAGAGGAAGATATAACGACCATCATCTACGGCCACGACTCGAAGAACTCCCTTTCGTTGAAAAAGTACACCAAAGGCCTAGACAGCGGGTGCGTCAAGGGCGGAAAGTTGACAGCGCTAGTCGTCGGGGCGAACGGACTGCAGGAAATTGTGCAGGTGAAGTGTGATGGGTACGAGGGAAAGAAGTGAAGGGGTTTTGAGTTTTGGGTGGCTTTGTTTAGTAGTTATTACTTTTGTGTTTGATAGCGAGTTTTCTTTTCACATATACGGCAGGTGGTGTTGTTGTGTTGCTTGTGCATACCGTGCATGGATAGATTATTAGATAGATTGATCTTTACGGTGGATTTTAGATCTAAGCTAGCTATTGGATAGCCACCATGTCATTTCGCTAATGAAATGTCTCTCGCTTTGATGGTTGGCTGGAGAGATCTTATACTGGTCAGGTGCTCTATATTGGGGGCTTCGTATCCCTACTGCACTGTCAATACTACTACACTACCCTGTAGCATAAACAGATCCAACACTTGACATCGCGCAAAGCTTGAATATACAACGAGCGACGTATCCAGTCGCCGTCTAATCAATATATACACACGTTGATACTCAGCCTATCAACAAAACATTTAAACCACTACCGGAGTAGAGCGGTTCCAACCGCCCTGAATATCCCACGTCACAGGCTTAGTGAAATCCTGATACCAGACGCCGCCCAGCGCATTGAGCTGGATGTAGCCGAAGCGGAAAAACTCGGGGTCGCCATCCCTGCGGCGCGTCCAGTTGAAGTCCGCGATGTGACCGTCCTCGGCCTTGAGTTGGTGGAAGCGCTCGACGTCGTTGACGAGGATGCTGATTCCGTCGGCCTCCGGGGCCAGGTCGGGGAAGGAGAACGAGATGTTGTGGGCGGATGGTATGACCGGGGGTGTGATGTGCGGCTGGATGCCGCCGAGCTGGCCGCCATCGAGGAGGTGCCCTGGGGTCTGAAGGATGCTGTCGAAGCCCCAGCGGGCGATGCCGTTGATGAAAAGGCCGACGAGGAGGCCTTGGTAGAGGAGACAGGGCCGGGTTTGCATCGTTGTGCCGGGGAGGAAGAGCAAACTGAGAATGTAGTGGTGGATGCGGAGGTTCATGTTGGGGACGGCGATGAGGGCGAGGACGCCGCCGACGAGCAGACCGTAGAGGGCGAGCATGCGCGGCATGCGGCCCTCGTTGCGGAAGGCGAGCGCCTGTGTCAGAACGATGGTGACGAGAACGCCAATGATTATGAGGAGCGCGGGGACGGCTCCCGGCTGCTGCTCGATATCGTGGGGCGTGAGCCGCGAGATGGGGATCTTGTCGAAGGTGTCCGTGTTAAGGGCGCCGACCCAGCAGGGCCCCAGCCACAGGACCGTCTTGTCCCAGTGGGCCTCGAGGTCTGTGAGCGTGTACCGCACGCAGAAGTAGTACATGGCGAAGCCGACGAAGGCGCAGGGGAGGAGACGGCCAAGGGCGATCGAGACCACTTCATAGTAGTCTGGGGAGTAGGGGGGGTCGGAGGACAGGGCGACTTGGAAGTAGATGATAAAGTATATGGACGAGTAGAACGCGGCCGGGGAGGTGATGAAGAGGGAGAGCACGGTTGTTACGACCAGCGTGAAAGTGAAGAGCGGCCAGCGGAGGTCAGTGCAGCGTTCCGCCGAGGCGTTCTCTGTGTCGAAGGTGAACGAGAGCGGGAAGTTAGAGGGGAAGTCGGTGCTCGGGACGCCGTTCTTGTCAACGGCGGGGAAGCCACTATGCTCGCCGGTGCGCTGAAGGACCCCGCATCCACCGCGCGCGTTGCTCACGATGCCAGCGTGCACCGCGGCCGGACAGATGGCCGAGTCCCCCCGGTAGACGCCGTGGTCAGCGGGATTGCCACCTTCGGGGGCACCCCCGATGACGAGGCTCTTGTAGTTGATCTCCTGCGGGCCGATGAAATAAGGTTCCAGCACCATCGCCTCAGCGCAGCTGGCCGGACACCGGAAGGCGAACGCGCCCTGATCAAAGGGGCGGCAAGCGTCGCCGTCCAAACCGCAGTTTGTGCCATTGGACCAGAGCCGCGCCTCGCAGGAGAGCTTGACGGGGCGTCCGTACCCGGGAATCTCCTGACCGGCAACCGACTGGTGCAAGATGGAGAGAAAAGCGATGCTCCAGAGGAGCAGACAGGCCAGCAGCAGCGCCGCCTTGGCCTTAGTGGTGCGGAAATACCGGTCAATCAGACGTCCAGGGGCGGTTTGTCCCCTGCGAAACCATGCGGTGATGTGATACTTCTGCGGATTCGGGGGGCCCTGCATCCACGCCCAGATGCCTGGCAGTGTACAAGAGAATCGCGCTGGTGGTTGCCCCCGGTCGAGCCCTGACGACGGATGCGGGACGCTGGCCGTGGGCAACAGTGGTTCATCGTCGGGGACCCGCGCGGAGTCGGCACTGGGACGGTTGTCCTCGGGGGCGAGGTTTTGTAGCGTATACTCTTGAGTGGCGCGCGGAGTTTTTTCAACCGAAGCGCGCGTCCGGGAACCCGATCTTTTGCGCTTGCCGACCATGATGGTTAGTCTCACAAGGGGATTCGAGAAGAGGGATTGACAGGAGACGGAGAGAGAGCGAGTCGAGATTCGGAGTCCGGAATGTCAGCTTAGTCATCCGTGATGGGCCCGTCCATTGCCTGATCGGGTAACCCTGCCTACGCTCATTGTTGCTACGTCTACGGGGTATTGTGGGAGATGACATGGTTAAGGGGTCAATATACAGTTTTTAATCAAGTCATATCTAACAGAACGAGCGAATACAGCATGAGTTGTCAACACGCCGACTGGGTATCCGTATTAGTAGTAAGAGAATCATCACGTCGTTTGCCGTGTCAACACCCATGTCCTGGTAATGCGATGAAGCGGATACCACGAAAGGAGCCGCTCCTGTGGCGTCCGGGTGCAAGACCCGCGATTATTAAGTTGGATCAATGAGCGTGGGATTTTGGGTGGTTGCGGATGGTCTTGCAATAAGGACTAGCAAGGACCGTCGCCGATGTCGACCGGTCTAGGGACCGATTTAAACGGCGGAGCGGAGACCACTGGAACGACGGGAGCGGAAAGTAAACCAGATTCCCTGACGAGTGTAAGTATATCTCGGCAGATAGATAGGTGGATAGGTAGATGGGAGGATGGGCGGACGGAGAAGAACATACCACAATGCCAGAGACCATCCACACGCAGGCGGAAATGAAACTGAAGGCCTCGGCGGCTTTCCAGCGACCGCAGGAATCGCCATGGGTGATACCTCCCCAGTCCCAGGTACTTCCACAGCTGGACTTGTGGATGGTATCGACGAGGATACCAAAAGCGGCGAACCAGGCGCACGAGATAATAACGTCAACTAGATCGATCGCATGAGCAAGCTGTCCCTGGACATCGGAAGGGTGCGCAACATACATGGCCAGGAGAAGAAACCGAAAGAGCAAGGAATCAGCCAGAGAAAACCAAGGATGATCGATACGGCAGCGACCACTTCGGTGTAGATCCACCGAGCCTGGGACCACGTTTCCAGTTTGTCGAAGGAGTTAAGATAGTAGCCGATGATACCAGCCACGACCTACTGCACGTTAGTGGATGACGGGGCTAGCCGGCAGGTGTCTAGTACGTACCGCGCCGCAGATGATTTCCACCGTGCGCAAGGCGATTGACAGGATACGGGAGAGCACAGGCATGGTGAGGATGGACTCTCAACGGAAGGTGAATCAGACAAGTATAGTGGGAGTGTAGTGGTGGTGTTGGTGGTGGTAGTAGTCGCGGTATCGCCAAAGCAAATAGCTTCAAAAATTGCCGAAGGAAAGCAGGGGAGAAAAAACAAACAAACAATGATCCGAGAAAAGAGGGAAGTGGACTACTTCTTAAGTCCACGACAAGCTTCCCATGATCTGCTGCAGTTTTTCAATTTTTTCCTTGATTTATTCCATCACGGCACCGTCAAGGTCCACACGATTGGCCCACGGGGTCTGCCCAACGCCTGGGCGTGAAGTTTGAACCCTGGCCGATCCCGCCTAGGTAACGATTGACACCGATCGCTGAGCGTCACACGTCGGAGGCGCATTTGTTGGCATAGCTGACATTGGCGGTGTCTATGGTCCAGACTCCCTTACTTTCTCCCCAGTGGTTCAGTCTGTGCGACCGAATTCGTCCCATCTTTTGACTTTGACCATCTCGTGTCGTGTCGACCGGCCAAGGACGTCAGCAGCTGGCGACCAGCTGAGGGTCTCCTGGTCTCAATTTTCAAGCCAGTGACGATCGGGGATATCTTTCCCCACCGGGATCCAACTCACTAGGCAAGGTGGAGAACAGGTAGCTCAATAGTCGCAGCCAAGAAATTCGCTGCTGCCTGCCTTGTTGGTGCATGATCAGCGGTTGGACATTCAATGTGGACGGAGTCTGCAATGAAACATACGAGAGGCAAACACAACCCCGAGGAAGGGACAGGACATCCTTGCATGTCCATGACATGCATCTAGAGAATGTCATTCTCATCGAGCCAGGATATTCGGATGTTTTTGCGCAAGGAATTGCTGTATCAAGGTGTGCAGTTCGATATTATGACGTCATCGGATACGGATCAGCTGACCAGTTCGATCAGCCCTAAATGGTGATGCCGGATGTGCTGCATCAGCATTTGTAAATCATTCAGATGGCCTTCTATCTTGAATTGAATAGCTAACTAGATTTAAGGTCACTCTAGACAGTTTATACTATCTCTCAATAATATGAGTGCCATTACTATCCACCAACGAAGGCTGTAATATCCGTTCACAAGGTCTATAGTATCGGTAGGTACCACGACACAGAAAGAGAGATGGAAAGAAAAGAAAAAAAAAAATATATATATATATATATATATAACAAATAATTGAACCTCCTCCGCTGACCTGTAAGCTATACCTCATCATAAGCGCTAAGTTAGGCTTCCATGATCCGACCCCAAGTTCGGATGGATTGGCTTGCGGCTTGTTGATCCTGCAGGGGATTTGTGTTCGATGGCATTGATCGAGGCTGTAACTTTCTGAGTATGCTTTCAACATCTGAGAAAGAACGAGCTATCATAACTGGCTGATTATCGTTCTCGCACTGGAGATAGCAGATGTTGACCTGTTGTCTCCCCCCCGGGATCCTACTTTGGGTACCAAAGGTCAGGGTATCTTTCCCTTCCATTAATTATCTTATAAATAATATGTACAATACAACAAAAACAGAAACTATTTCATGCTCAGATCCCCCGACAGAAACCCATCCATCACGGATCGAAAAACCCCCTTCGCCCCATTCCCCACCACGTCCCCATGACACGGAATCAGCCGATTAAACTCCCACCCATCAATGCGCCTCATCGACTTGGCAAATGCCTTTGTATCCGCCGACAGCAGGTACCACACAAACATCCTCTGCCACGACGCCGACGGTTCCGTCGACAAAAACGGGACCACCATCTTCGTTAAGATCCCACCCGTGGGGCTCTGACCCGCGCGGCTGTACTGCTCGCGCGCTGGCAAATTGAAGAGCAGATCCCCTTCGATCAGCGTACACGACGGCCGGTGCAGAAACACCAGCTCCCGCGACCGGTGCGCATGCACGTATTCCGTGGCGAAGTCAGCGTCAAACTCCGGTGTGATGCTGCGCCGGCCCGGCGTGAGGATGTGCTCAAAGGGTGACGCTGGGTCGTCCCGGTACACGCGGGTCGCCTGCCTCTTCTCCCAGAGACCCTCGGGGGCAATGACCTGCGCATCTGGATACGCTGCTTTCCAGGTGGAGATGTGAATGTGGTGCTCCATGTCCAGGGCGGCGATGTAGCCTACGCGCCCGCCGAGGGTGGTGACCGCTTCGCGGACTTCTGGGGTGAGGCTGACGGGGGAGAAGACGGCTACGGCGCCGGACGACATTTTGACTATGGGATCTGTGTGAGCTTGTTTCTCTTCTCTTTATTGCAGATGGAAAGGCTGTACCTAACGTGCCACGACTGCCGAATCGGAGGTGTCCAAATCGCGCAAAGGGTAAGCTCATGGTGATAACGTCGGAGGTGACATTCCGGATTACCATTAGCTCCGAGGGATTGTGGGGGACGAGAGGACCCATTTTGTCGGATGGTACTGAGTCGTGTGCTTTCTGAGATGGCGTGTCGTGTCGTAGTAATCAGGAAGACTAGTCCAAATCGGTACCTATATCAGTAGTATATGAGGATGGTTGGTCGTATTATAGTCACTTCGAGGGAATCGTAGCCACATATCCGTAATCTCGCGCTATTTGGTGAGATTATACAAGAATGATGGTGTTTGGAAGATTGCGACTGATGAAACGGACCAGGATGAAATCCGGATGGGGCGATCTGGACTAATGACGTCATTGATTATTTTGTCTGTAAATGGAAGGCGGTACAGATATAAGAGACCCGCAGCAGTGTGGGTTTGGTGATGGTGACCCCACAAGATATAGTCACATGGAGGAAGACCCCTGGCAGCAACCTCACTTCACTAGGTTTGACATATGTGCCTGAGCATCTAACACAACGTGTCGAGAGATGTGAAAGTGATGAGCTACTGCATCATAGTTCCAGCCACATGCCAGTGGCTACCTGAATCACATTCCCAGAGTGGGAAACCGCCTCCTCCGTCACACCAAGGAAGGCATGGAGAAAGACCGATACAGAAATGGTTAGGGCAGACAGTGAACACAAGGCTGAGAGTGCGATCCTTTCGCAGCTCAGAACAGGCAAAATCGGACTGGCAAGCTTCTTGCATGTCATGCAAGTCCCAGGTTACACATCCGCGGTATGCACACGGTGCGGCATGGGCAAAGAGACGCCACGACACGTCATACTCCACTGTAATAAGTAGCAGGATGAACGGGAGGCACTAAGGGTGAACGGATGGATTGATCTTACTAGTCTGCTCACAACGGTGGAGGGAGTGAAGAAGGTGACAAGATGATCTTTCCAGATGGAAGTGTTTGACCAGTTGCGGCTGGCCAACAAGCTCAATATGAGCTAAGTTCTTAGTGTGTATCTTGACAAAAGGTATTGTGGACATATAGATAGAGCGCGCCTGGAAAATAGTCGAGCCAATCTCCACCAGTCATGGTCTAGCAGAGTAAACCCTGGAGATGGACCGTATGGCAATAGGCTAACCGGAGTATAATAAGAATAATACTTCTTGATGGACAGAAATTATAGTTATTGAATGATCCATACCCCCTCCACCAACTGAGCATCATCCTTGACATCTCCCTGCCCTTCGTCCAGATCGTTCGCTGGCCCGAGTATTTCTAAGACGGCCACAGACTCGAATTTGAATATTCCGTCAGTATGTTTCCCATCTGTGGGAAAATTTGGATCTGTGGACGTCGACACCACTGGCAGCCATCATGGGTACCCAAGAAAGCATTCTCTTTGTATGGTCCCAGAAAATCGCGTATGAGTCGCGTGATGGGGATTGTGGCCTGTCACTGGAATTCAAATCCAAATCTTTCTTTTCTTCGGCAAGCTCGTCCCCCTTTTTCGATCCATCAGCTCGCTGTATCTGAAATTTGACTCTCGGACCATTGTTCAGTTGAGCATGGATAAACAGAGACTGAAGATTGTCAAGTGTGCAAGAAGACGGCAGAGCAAGCCCAGGGCAATTCACCGCGAAGCCCCGCTCAGTCACCAGTCCAGGGAAGGTACTGTAATATTGCGAACTTTAGAGCTCCTAAATTGACTCACAGCCCATGTCCAGCCAGGCTCGAATATTCGTGGTCCCATCATAAATAACAGGCCTTGTGGCAGATTGCGTTCCGTCCTTAATAGCGCATGCATTTGTTTCTTGAATGGGACATCGCGAAGAAATAACAGCTCCCACCTAATGATGCTGGCTATGCAGATAGACTGGTCCTCTTTTCAGCTGGTTGGGTGATACAGTGCAGTCATGTGCGCTTGCATAATAGCACTGCAGCACTTCCTAATATTTAGCTTCACAGAAGGTGATTCTATAATTATTTTTACTCTGACATCTTTTGATCTGGCTTGTTAATGACATTGAGCCTTAGGGCTAGAAAATAATATAAGTATAAACATCACGCATCTGATCATAGCGACCTATAAACTTGCCTGTAACTGGGCTTGATCTACCTGCTATGTTGAAAATTGTGAATGATCCTATATTCTTATTTTACTTAAAGGTTGAAGAAAATATCTATGAACTTGACATAAAGCCTTCACGCACAGACTGCCTTTTGCAGTGTTCACAGCCGCCGCATCTAGGGAGAGAGTGAAATATGCATGAATACTTCTGTGGATACGCCTTGTGGGGAGGCTTGTAATTCTGTATTTAGAACAACGACCTGAAAGGCGCCCTTACTAATAGTTTTCATTGATTCAATCGCCTGCGACTGGATCTCCCGATACTTTTCATCAACTGGGATGCAGAGGGTGTTTATCTAGAATGAGAGTGAAGAGCCCTAGAACTTCCTGCTTAGAGTGTTAAAGGCACTCATGTTAATCAGTGACAGGTTGAAAGAAGCTCATCGAGTATAGTCTTAATGCGCAATATCTGACATCAAGGCAATGTGTTCTGGACGGGATTTTCCAAACTGTCAGACCAAACATGAGAGAATGCTATAAACTGTTTGCTTCGTTTGTACGGTTCTGCTATGATCTTGAGATACGGCCTTGTCTTCATCATTTGGATATAAACCAGAGGGATCTGACCGCATTAAAATGATAGACATAATGTCTTTAAAAGGGATTCTAGATGTGTACAGTCACACCCATCGTTGCTATGCTGCGTGTGGTATGTGGTTTCATGTAATTAACACGCAGCACACACCGTATCTGAGCAGCTTGAATGATCTTATTATGGGGTCTCTTTGGGTCGTTTGAGTTGAGTCGCATAGTATACTGAGGTGGATGAGAATGTATGAGAGACCATATATCTCTCACTAGGGCATTGTCCCTCTTTAACCATGCGCGAAATGGGAAGGTAGGCATATTGAAACATGTGAAGCTTCTAAAGGAATATTCTTATTCAAAGACTGATTAACTGAATAATACGGTGCAAAAGTGTTCTCTTAAATAATACATTGCTCAAAAGATCAATGACTGCTGGCAATGGCCAAACATGATATCCAGATCTGAAGTCCTTACTACACGTGTTAAGAATACAGAGCTTTGATAAAGTGATCAAACAAGTCTTGATATTTTGCATCAAAGCTTGCACAGAAGAATAATCAACTCACATCAGCTCTCTGGTCTCCAACACACGCTGATGAATATACTGATCAAGCAGCTTGGTAGTGACAGTTCCATGACTGGTTTCAGTGTCCCACCTCACATAGTCTGAGTTAAACACTCAGAACTACCTAAAGGACACCGGAACATAACCAATTCTGCAAGAATGCCGCCATCTCTTGTGGTGGCCGCTGGGAGAAATCACCATCAAATAATTGATCCTTAAGACAACCCAGAGCGCTCGGGGTAAGATGGCCAGTCCATCTGATCATACGCCTCTAGGCTAAGGCAAGGAATGCTCAGAGGAGGATAGGCTGGGTCTGTTACTTCTTTAATGTGATCCATGGTTCCCAAAGGACTCTTTGGTCAAATGAATTGGGTTACAGGAGAGAAAGATTTGAGTTCAGTGTATCACTTGCTACTAGTTACTTTCTAGCTTCTTACCCACGTAAGCAAAGAGCTGACATCTTGTCTTGCGACTACTGTATGATATTGAGAAATCAAATTACTGAAAACTTTGACAACATTGAGCGACTGCGTAGTCGATGACTGGGACGTTGGCCTGGGGTTCCATGATTGCGGTGCATGGGACTACGATGGATGTCAGAGACTGGGGATTTCTTGAGGACGAGGGCCTGGTATCACTCGTGTTTAGCCGTACTAGGATCGGGGGCTGCAGGGTTGTCAGACGAATATCGAAGACAACTGACCAAAAGGGTGTTTCGGCCCCAATCCGCTTATCCTACTCAAGTTTTTGTTCATGGGTTGTGCTGGTTGGTCCTTTTCTGCTGGTTGTGCTGGGTAGGTTGTTTATACGACGTTGCAAGCAGTAACGCAGTGTTGATTATGGCCTTGGTCAGCTGTGAGCGGGTTAGCGTCAGGGACAATGGGATACATAGCACTTTACAATATGCTTTGAGATCAATGGCATAGACAAGGTAATAAGGCAAGGCAGGGAAAATGCTTGAATCAAGGTATGAACTCCAGGTTAGAGCATGTTGGTAGCACCCAAGATTACAGACCTCCATGGAAATAGGTTTTGACAGCGACAGAGGTAAGGAAACCAGATTGATTTTGAATCATAGAGTAAGTCGTAGAGAGAGTCATTTAGGGTATCACACATTACAGCACAACGGAATGAGCACATCTAACCATACCATCCCCGTCCCGACTTCGCCGCCTCCTCCTCTTGGCGATGTGGAATTATACACTCCTTGATATCATACGCATCAATCAAGTCTTGCCAGGTGTCGAAGTCTAAGCAAAACACCGACTGGTGTTTTTGAATTCCCATCCTCTGGGCTTCACTGGGGGCGTAGGGTTTTGCCGCATCTATAACTCGGTCAGTATCTGTCTAGAGAAAAGGAATTGCAACACTCCTGAGTATAAGAGACACTCACGCAACGTAGGCAGTGCACGGCTATCCGCTGCAATACCAACCGTGCCATCCCGGACCAGAAAGCTAACATAGAACAAATTCTCCACGGTCTGTCCGAACGATTTCGGGTTGATGCAGAAGTTGAAGAGTGGTACCCCACCATCATCTGCGACGTTATGCTTGGCCATGAACTCTTGCACCACTTCGTCCGGCGGGACTTCCGCCAGCTGCGACAGATGCCCCTCCACATCATCTTGGCCCTGTTTTTGCGTGGTCGCCAGCAGCTTGTTGATGTCGGCGCACATGGTCGTCAAATTTGTACTCTTCTGCCCATCTAGGTCTTCTTCCCGGAGCTCCTGAGGACGGACCGCCTGCGACGGGTCGATGCGCTCGCGTGCTCGTCGCTGCGCAACCTGCCGGGTGCGCTTCTGGACCGACAGCGGACCCAGAAGGAAGCCGGAGACCGCCGGGCGGGCATTATGACGGAAGCAGGCTGCCCGGCCCAGCCAGTCCCAGTTCATCGCATCCCCCTGGTCATCATCACTGTCATTTGGGTCACCCTGGGTGCGTCCTCCACGTCGACGCTGCGTGCTCGGGGCGGCCTGGTCTGCAGGGCCCTGGCGCATGAACGCGATGCATTTGGAGACAAACTCGTCGACATCGATCCCGGTAGCAGTATCCCCCAGAACAAGGTGTGCGGTCTTCTTGTACGATAGATCGGCGGCACTGACCAAGAGACGGGAATCGATCGTGGCGTCGGAGGTCTGCTTGACATTTTGGAAAAAAACATTCGCCTTTTCGATAGTGTTTTTGATACCGTGGTTCCCCGCTTGCATGTACTCCGATTTGGAATCTAGACCCAAGTTAATTATGATCCCATGGACACGCTTCCCACGTAATTTGAACTTTACCCTGAAGGTCCCGCGCAAGGTCCCGGAGCCCTTTGCGAATCTGCCGTCGCTCTTTCTCATCCTGATCCGGATCATAGTACTGCTTGTCTCGATTATACTGAGATGGCTGGGCCTGCGACTGACTGCCCGCCGCATTGGAAGTCCGGCTTGCCAACCGGACGCGTTTCGGATTCGAAGGATGAGCCATCGTCTGTGTTTGATCCCTCTTCCGGTTGCGACTGAGGGTCTGGCGATTCTCTTTATCAGATTGGGGTTCCGGTGAAAAGGAAGACGGAGTCGTCGAATGGTTGGGAAGGGAAATGCGAGCCATGCCGAGTGCCAAACGGAGTGACAAACGTGATGAGGGCGCGTCAATGGTACAAAGACCAGGCTCAAAGAAAGTCAAAAGAGCGACAGGGGCGCACACAGCCAGAAGAACCCAGGATCCAGTGCATTCAAAGACTTCCTGAAAAAGAACAAAGAACAAAACAAGCCGCAGCACAGCAACGAGTGATTGAGCGCATCGATGAATGAAATTGAATCAATGAAATGACCGAACCGCGACGCGACGGCAACACGTGACGTCAGCTGACCCGCGTTATCTGGTCTTATCGTCACTTGATCTCCAACTTCATGATTCGTTTCCCTTGATCGTCATTTGAAGCTTCAACCAACATGCGCTGAAACAACCTGTTCTTCCTCATGGAGGCCTTTACTTTTGCGCTTTCCACTCAGGTGGACTTTCCGATTTATGTTCGAATGTATGTATCCTCCCATCGATCTCCCGCACGTCATCCGTTGACCAAACAGTGGTTCTCTGGAAGGAAAGCAGAAACAAATCCCTTTCTCGGTGCTCTTGAAACGACCCGATCTGCGGCACATTGGCTCCGTGCAGGACCCGACATCGGATTTGTTTGTGACAGCGCAGCTATGGTCCGACTCTAAGCCCTTGGGGGTGCCTGTGCAGACCGCCTTCAAGACCTTCAAGACGGCTAGATCCTGGAATGAGTGGCTGCAGATGCCAATGTCCCTTGAAGATGCGCCGTTGCAATGTCAGCTTGCCATCACTGTGTGGGATCTGTCGCCGATGGGCGGCGAGGGGGCGCGGGGCCATTATGTTCCATTTGGCGGAACGACGATCTCGCTATTCGATGAGGAGGGGAAACTGAAGATGGGTCGGCAGAAATGCAAAATCTACCGGCACAAAGCTGCCGACGGTTTCTCTTCCACGACCACCCCGTCGAGTCCACCCCCCAAGCGTCGCAAGACCGCCGGCCCCGATCCACTGGCACCCTCGCCGGAGGAACTGGAATTGGAACGAGTGGAGGTCCTGATCAAGAAGCATGAGATGGGCGAGATTCCCCGGATCGATTGGATGGATCAGATGGTCTTTCGCCAGCTGGAGAGGCTGAAGATTAATGCCGACGAAGCCGCAAGGAAACGGGCGATCCTTCTACAGGCTAGAAAACACAAACCGGCTGGGGAGCCGGCATCCGCGGAGGACGATTCGGGGGACGAGGAAGCTGATTACGAAAACTTCACCCTTCATGTCGAGTTTCCTCGATTCGACCACCCGATCGTCTGGTCCGATCATGAGTACCCGCCGCCTCCAATTTCAACGTACACCCAAAGCGCGCCCGGAAACGCCAATGCAACCCTGAAGCCGCTCCCAGAGGTCCGCTTTGGTCCAGACATAGAGGGAGCAGAGGGTGTGATTCGAATATACGATCCGGAGATGGGCCAAACGGGCAATCCATGCGAGGATAAACATCGCAGACTGATCCGCAGCCATCGCACGGGCATCATGGACCGGGACCTCAAACCAAATCCCAAGATTCGTGATGAGCTCAACCACATTGTATCCTACGAGCCAACGCAAGACCTAACCGCGGAAGAGAAGGACCTGGTTTGGAGATTCCGCTATTACCTGACGCGCGAGAAAAGGGCTCTCACCAAATTCGTCAAGTCCGTTAATTGGCGAGACGCGGGCGAATCCCTGCAGGCGGTTGAGATCCTTCCCAAATGGACCGAGATTGACGTCGACGATGCCTTGGAGCTTCTCGGGCCAACGTTCGATAACCCAGCGGTCCGCACTTACGCCGTCGAACGGCTGAGGAAGGCCGATGACGATGAACTTCTTCTCTATCTCCTACAGCTCGTACAGGCGCTCAAGTACGAGGACAGTCCCAACGCCGACGCCGAAGATGTGGCGCACGACTCTTCGCTGGCCAACTTCCTCATCACCCGGGCGGCGAACAACCTCCAGCTGGGCAGCTACTTGCATTGGTACCTCATGGTCGAATGTGATGACGCGGGCCCGGGATCCGCACAGGGCCGGCTGTTTGCCCAAGTGGAGTACTATTTCATGGTCGAGATGGAGAAACTCAACCCAGAAAACCGGAAGACCTTACTTCGCCAAGGGGAAATGGTGGCAGTCCTGTCCAGGATCGCCAAAGATCTTCGCTTTTCGCGAGATAGCCGGCCGCTCAAGATCGAAAAGCTGAAGAAGTTCCTGAAAGACCCGAAAAATGAAATCGTTCACATCGACCCACCCCTACCACTCCCGTTAGACCCGGAGGTGATGGTCACAGGCTGCTACCCGGACGAGTCCAACGTCTTCAAATCCACGCTATCCCCTCTTCTTCTCACCTTCAAAACCTCCGACGGCAACAAGTACCCGATCCTCTTCAAGGTCGGTGACGACCTGCGTCAGGATCAGCTCGTGGTCCAGATTATCATCCTAATGGACCGCCTGCTACAGAACGAAAACCTCGACCTCAAACTCACCCCCTATCGAATCCTCGCCACAAACGCCACCGCAGGCGCAGTCCAGTTCATCCCCTCGACGTCCCTCTCCGCCGTCTCCGCCAAGTACAAATCCGTCCTCGCCTACCTCCAAGCCAACAACCCAGACGACAGCGAGCCCATGGGCGTCCGCAAAGAAACAATGGACACATACATCAAGTCCTGCGCCGGCTACTGCGTAATCACGTACCTCCTCGGCGTCGGCGACCGCCACCTCGAGAACCTGCTCATCGCACCCGACGGACACTTCTTCCACGCCGACTTCGGCTTCATCCTCGGTCGCGACCCTAAGCCGTTCGCGCCCATGATGAAACTCTGCAAAGAGATGGTCGAGGGCATGGGCGGCACCACCTCCCCGCTGTACCTCCAGTTCAAGCAGTACTGCTTCACGGCGTACATCACGCTGCGCAAGTCCGCAAACCTCATCCTCAATCTGTTCAGCCTGATGGTCGACGCCAACATCCCGGACATCCGCGTCGAGCCTGACAAGGCCGTCTTCAAGGTCAAGGAACGCTTCCACCTCGAGATGACTGAAGAAGAGGCTATCCGCCATTTTGAACAGTTGATCGGGGACAGTGTCAATGCCATCTTCGGCGTGGTCATTGATCACCTGCATGAATTTGTGCAGAGATGGCGGGCTTGAATAACCCGGTTGATCGTCACATCGTCATATCCTGATACCTTATTATTACGAAATACGAATTTGTTAGCGGAATCTGGAAGGCGTCTTGCTCTGTCTTAATTATGTTTTGGGGAATCTATTGGGGAGGATTTAGACGCGATTGGCGCAATTGAATTTCTCGCTCGCACTGAATGGGTGGATAATATATATTATATACCCCGTCTTGCGTTACAACTAAACTTTTATGCTATTATCTTGATAACCAACGATGTTAAATACCAGCGCGAGAAATTTGTTCTCTTTTCTATCGATCTATCGATCTATTTATTCATTCTTCTTTTCTGATCCCTCTATAGAGCACATCTCCGACCAGATCTAGCCCCCTAAACAACACGACCACACGCATCGAACCCCGACTGAAGTAATCAGACCAGCTTCTACCGATCATCCATCGCCCTACCCAATTCCTCATCAGTCTGCGTCCGAAAATCAAGCTCCACCCACTCCTGGCCACTTCCCCGAGACGGACCACCAAAGTTACTACTTCCACCCGAAGAACGCAGATTACGCTCAGAGCCCGCAGGTAGTGGTTCCCCAGCGCGAGGAACATCGCGCACCCCCGAAGAAACAGCGGGAGAAGGAGGAGCGGGCACCGTATCGCCCCAGACTTCATCCCGCTTGGCCAGGGCGTCCTCATCGTCTTCGGGTGTGCCTTCGCGGCAGGCCCACGCGTCCACGAAACGAAGCACCTCGCGCGGCCACCACCGCTTCATGACGAGTAGGCGGAAGGGGACGAGGGCGATGATTATGATTGGGAAGGCGGGGGCGCCGCGCGTTAGGGTTACGATGAAGATGATGACTGTTGTTATTACTTGGAGGAGGGTGTAGAGGTGGATGGGGAGGTAGGATGGTGGGTGGTTCGGTTTCTTGGAGAGGGTTGCTGGTAAGGGGGGGAGTTCGGAGGGTGGTGTGAGGAGGTAGAAGGTTCGGTAGAGGATTGGGCTAGCTTGTTAGTTATTTTGTTTATCGCGTTGGTTCCCCTTCTCCCTTTTGGGAGGTCAAGGTCTGAATAAGGGCGGTTGTTGGGACCTACTTGACGGATAAACTCTGCTCGCCCATGAACATGAAAAGTCCAGCGAGGACACTGGTTGGAGTCAGGCCGAGGACAGTCATGAATGGCGGACTGATGAAGAGGAGGATCGCGCCTGCGTGAAGGAAGGTTGACCATCGCTGCTCGTAGACGCGCTTAACTTCGTGCGTCACAACCTTCTCTTCCCCGTCCACTGTTTCAGTGCGCTGTTCTTTTTCGGTGTGCATCAAAGACTCCGAGTGTAACGGCGCTTGGGGCAGGAGCCCGTTGGCTGGGGGGATCCCCAAGATCCCGCACAGCGCGGTCGTCGTGCCCAATAGGATGATATCCCATGCAAACCCACCGGGCTTGCGGGTTCCGTACCGGTCGATGGTGCATATAATTGAGCTGACCTCGTGGTCAAAGAAGAACAAAACGGTAATGATGAGCCCTGGAATGATAGCGGCAAAGATCCACCCGACGGGCAGTTTCCAGAATTCGACGAAAAACCTGTCGCGGTCTGGAGAAGTCGGTCTGAAGGAGGTGCTGACGGGGAGGGTCATCTTGTCTAGGTTCGCTAGTTCACCTGCGTGTGGCAGAGCTATAAATATTATAATTGATATCGCTGCCGCATACTCCGTCAGAGCCATTCGGATATACCGATGGAAAAGCGGCCGCCAGCTCTCCGCGGTCGATAAGAAGATCGCCAGAAGCATCGTCCCGACGGCGCCGATGACTGCGTACAGAAACGCTGCGAAAGAGAGGGAATCATGTGCCCTTTCGAGCTCTTGGATTGCTTTATGGAAATATATGATGCTGTTAAGGAGAGAAAAGATCTCGGTAGCGAATGTCGTCACATAGCGCATGGTCCAGTCGTGGGCGTTGACGATTGCCAATATATAATGAAGCCAGCCGGCATGAATGAGGGACCAGGCCATGAACGGCAAAAATGGAACCTGCCAGAGTTGTCAATCTATTTGATCGTCGAATTCAACAGACAAAGAGTTGTATACCATGAACACATCATCACACAGAGCATAGATGTTTTCTGCGAGCACCGAAAATGGCCCCGTCACGCCAAGTATGTTCAATGGCTGGACCGAAAACCTATGGCACAACATGAACATTGACGCCGAGACACTCCGTCGGTCAGCCAGACATACAGTGAGAAAATGACTCCACACAATCCCGTGCTGAACACGACCTCAATAGTTCCCCAGCTCTTGCCGGTCAAGACATAGAGGTCACTTGCAAAGGTGATTCCCGGTAGGAGATTGGTAAAGAAGACATAAACGGCGCTTGCGAAGATCAGTTGGTTGAACACGGTCCAATCGGACAGCCATCGCCGGCGCAAGTTGACGATGTCTTGTTTCACCAGGCGAAACGGACGAAGAGGACCACCGGATGCCACAGAGCCTCGCAATACACGCAATGCCCTCGGGGTGTGTTTAGAGGGTGTTATAATGGAGTGTGCATCGCTGTCTCCGTCCTCTTCGTGCATCGGCTCAATCCCTAGATTGGCGCCGTGTTTGGGGTCTTTGCGATTTCTTGCAGAAGACCGGTCTTGTAGCGAAGTGACAACCCGCGTCGAGCGGGGTCGAAAAGCTGATATAAGGGACATAGTTCAAGGGATAGATCCACTGAGGGAGTGGGCTCGTCAAGGGAGAATCTGCAGAACGTTGGGAGGTAAAGTTAAACTGAGGGGCAACAGCCAAACTGCCGTAATCACACTGCATGACGTAAAACGCCCAGCACAAACCGCAGATATGCTTCACAACAGCCCCATTGCCAGATTCTGCCCATGATTATCAGAAGGAATGATAACCACTTCCTAACGACGGGAAAGTTGGTTCGCGTGGCATGGCCCCTGCCCGGGTTGCGTCCATCGATGACGTATGATAATGAACAGTAAATAGTGGAAGGAAACCAGAAATATTAAGAAACAAGCACACGTTAGGTTTTGCGAGGCTAATATGAAATATGACATGGTCTCCAAAACGGTAGAAAAGAAAATTAGAAAAAATGGTCGAGTCACGTTGGTATCATCAAGGGCTTTTGTGCCTTCCTTCAAATGCATAAGATACAAAACCGAGAAGCATGGGAAAAGGGCAGAATGAACCATGAGAGGAATCGCAGTAAAGAACAAAACAGATCCAGAACGCCCGACAAGTGTGGCCGCATAAAGCGGAGAGAAAAGACGAAAGGAAGCAAACAGACGCCTAGCACGCCAATCCATGGACGGACACATTACCACCCCTCATCTCTCAAGTGATCTTATCCAGCAGTCGTCTCCTCCGACGGTCCACCAGCTCTTCCTGCACCTCATCGAGAGTCGGCAGTCGCCATTCGGTCCCGTCCCCAGCATCGCCAGGCAACGGCTGCCACCCATCCTCAGCATCGTCGTCTGCCTGCGCGCGCAGACGCTCATTCGCCTCTTTCTCCTTCTGCTTCTCATACGCCAACAGCGTCCCATCCTCCTCATCCAGTCCATACCCAAAATAATTCGCATCGACCTTCCTCGTCGCAATCTCGCCCCCACGACCACGGTCCTCGCCCTCCTCCTCCGCCGGCCCGCGACCCCGTCGAGCAGCCGCCTCAAACATCTCCTTGACACCGGGTAACTCCCTCGCGCGTCCAAAGTATCGATACCCCTTGCCGCCGCCGGGGATCTCGCGCCCTTCATCATCGTACACCCTCCCCGTGCCACGCATGTAGTTGGGCCCGCCCAGGTTCCGAATCTGCATCTCCCAAGCCCACTTCTCGCGCATCAGCTTGTTGATCTCGTCGTTCAGGTCGCGGATCTGGTAGTCGCTGAGACTGGACTCCTGGATGCGAGACACCTTGCGCGAGATCTCCTTCAGGACCTGGCCGCGCCATTTTTCGCAGTTCGGGATCGAATCCACCGACGTGATGGCCTTGGGGCGGCGCGTGCGTCCGATGTCGATGATGCCGAGATCCGCGGCTTGTTGGGCCCGGAACCGGAACAGCATCGACTGCGCCTTTTCACTGTTTCGCGCCTGTCATCGTGGAAAGATTGTTGTTAGTTTACGGGTCTGAACTTCGGCGAGGGGGGGATATCTCTCGAATCCGGCGGGGCCGTCGGAGCATGCTGGAAGAGGCGCGGAATCTCGTAAGGAAGTCTACTTACCATGGTTACGAAGAGCGCGAAAAGAATTTCACCAGGTGATGGAGAAGATGGGGAAGGAGGAAGCAAGGGTCATGGGTCAACAACCAACTCCCAAGGCTGGTTGACGTGAAGCTCGGGTGGGTTCAAAAGTCGGCCGGTCCAAGCGAGCGCCAACCAGAGACGCGCGGCTAAATTTATGATAGATTACATAAGAATTTTACTGCATAATCACTTATACATCGTATTGATGGTGCATTGTATTGTCTGATATAAAAGCTAGAGGGATAAGACCTGGACAAACCAGAGTGGCAGAATTACTATTATAATTCCCAACTTAAGCCAATACCTAACACGTAAACCGACTCCGCAAAAGTCACCATCAAAATGTGTGGATAACTCGACAAATATCAATGCAAATCATGAAAGGCATCTCGAATGCGTATACACATAAAACAAAAAGAAAGGCGGCAAAATCAACGGCGTCTCCCATCCATGCTCCGTAGTCATGTCCACTGCCCATTATATCGTACTCATCGTAGGAGCCCTGACCGGCGAGGCACTCAGGTGTATATCAACAAGGTTGGTTTTAGTACTCAATTCACCGAGATGTCATGTCGTTCATGATAAGGCTCTTCACAGGAAGCCTTTGGTGTTGCTAGGCATCCTCTGTAAATCCGCGGCGGCGAATGCACCGCTCCCCTTCCGGCTTCCGGTTTCACTGAAGTGGCTCCGACGTTCCATGCGGAGCCCCTTCCATCCTTCCAGCTCGCGCTCCAGTCGTAGCGATTTTTCTTTCTCCTCACGCAGCTCTCGTTCGGTCCGTCGGATTTGGATCATGGTGTCAGCCCCGCCGTGCTCCAGCTTTTCGATGTCCTGGAGCAACCGCTCGATGCGGTCACGAGCCTTGTTGACGTCGTCTTCGAGCTGGGAGTTCATTTTGTCGCGTCGGTCGATTTGAGACTGAAGGTCCTTCACCGTGCGGTCAACGTTGCGGGAAGATCGTTGCTCGGTGCTGTGCTTGGTTTCTTGGTCTTCAAGAAGGTTTTCAAGCTGTGAATAAACATGTCAGTGTTATTGTTTTCGGTGATTCATATGTTTAGTATCAATCACGACTTACCTCCTTGATCCGCTTGTGCAAGAACCGGATATCCTGACTACCGGACGAGTAACTCTTGGTCTCCAGGTCGACGCATCTGAGCTGGGTCTCCTTCAACTGTTTCTCCAGGGAAGCCTTGTCCTTGAATAGCTGGGTAGTAGCCTCTCTTTCGGCTGTAACCTCCTTCTGCATCTCGATGGCAAGTGCCTCGGCGCGCCGCATCTTGTCAACCGCGGCCGAGGACAAATCTTCCTGGTGGGCGAGCTTGGACTTCAGCTCCAGCAGTGCGCGATCCATACTGGCGGCATTGCGCATGGAAGGGCTCTCTCCCTTGGCAAGGTCCTCGAGTCTTTCGCCAGCCTCAGTGAGTCGCGTCTCCAGCATCTTCTTCTCCTTGAACAGCATGTCTCTTTCCGCCGTTACATCTTCGACCGAGGTTCTCAGGCTTCTCACTTGCGATAGAAGGTTCACAACTCGGCTCTGAGCTTCATTATGAGCATTGGCTGCCTCGTCCCGAGATGTTGTGACATCGTGAAGCATCATGTCCATGCGGGCCTTCTCCTTCGCCCACGTCGAGCTATTCAGGACTTCGTTATCCCACTTGCTGCGGAGTTCATCGAGCTCTTCCCGTAGACGCGAGCTCTCCCCGCGGACACTCAGTACCTTTTCGCGCTCCATTTCGAGCTCGTTATTGAGAGCCAGGAATTCCCTCTGGTACTTCTGCCTCGTCTGCTCCATCAAGGTCTCCTTATCCTCGATGTCGATTGCGCGTTGGTTTCTGTAATCCTCAAGCTCATTCTGGAGGCGTTGTTTGGACTGCAGCGCGGCTTGCAGCTCAGCGCCTTGATCTTCCATCCTTGCTTCCAGGGACTGCGCTTGGCGTTCCAGATCCGCAACTAAAGAATCCATTTCCTTGCGCTCGGACATGATTTGAGCGCATGTCTCCTCGACCTCCTGAGATTTCGACTTGGCAAATTGCTCCGCGCGCTTAGCCTTTAAAACGGTGATCTCAGCCTGCTCAAGTTTGTTGAAATACTCATCCGCGCGCGTCTTGTACAAACTCAAGCTGGATGCAAGGTCAGCAGACTTGGAGGTTTCTGCATCCAGGCGAATCTGCAGATCGGAGAACTCTTGGAGAAGTTGGCCTCGGCTGACGGAGTCTTGTTCCTTAGCCTCGCGAAGCTCTTCTGTTTCCGAGCGCGCATCTCGCAGGTCGACCTCAAGAGATGCCTTGGCCCGTTTCAATTTCTCAAACTGGGTCTTAGCCTCCGAAAATTCAGAAACAGCCTCGTTGTGGACCACGAGTAACGATCGCCTGGCGTTCTCTTGGGAGTTAATCAGATCGTAGAGCTCTTCGTGTGATCTAGCCTGAACATCGCGCAACGACAATTCTCCAGAATGGATGCTTCGCTCGAGCGCCGAGACCTTCTTGGCAGAGTCGTCAAGCTGCTCGTGCAAACGACCATTCGCCCGCTCGAGGAGTTGCATTCGGCGAATAGATGGGCTCTCGTCCTCCCAAGAACCCCGGTTCGGCGTGGATTGCTGCAATTGACTTTGAAGGTGCTTGTTCTGCATCTCAGCCATTTGCAACTTGTTTTGCAACTCTTCCATCTCGCCAGCCAGGTCCATTCGCCTCTGATAGCCAACAGTATCGACCGTTCGGTCAGAGCGGGCCGAGTCATTTGCCGCCTCATTATGATTGAATCTTCGGTTAGGCGTTGTTGGAGTTCCGAATTTCTTGACCGCGCTATTCTCTGAATCCTTGCGCAAATGATTTGGTGTGCGGTTGCTTGCCACTTGATTATGATCAATCTCCTCCAGCAGCGCACGTTTGGAAGAAGAATAACGAGTATCAAGCTCCTTCATCTCGTCACCGTGGCGACGCCGCATTTCGCCAAGCTGGCCCTCTGCTCGACTGTACTTCTCTTCGGTCACTTGCAGCTTACTTTGCAGTGTATCAACCAGTTGGGCCATATCCACCTTCTTGGTCAAGTCTGGTTTGATAGCCTCCCAGGAGTCATTGGACCTGTCAGACTCGGGTTCAACAACCTTGTGAAGAAGTATCAGTTGACGACGCAAGCCGTCGATTTCCTTGTTCGCCGTATCCACAGAGCCCTGCAATTTTCTGGTGTTGGCCTGCGCTTGGCTGCGCAGTTGTCTCTCTGTTTCCAGGTTTCTATTCGCCTCTGCCAGCTGGATGCCAGCAGTAGAAGCGGCCTTTTCGGCATTGCGGCTAGCTTTGTGCTCTCTCGTGACCTCGTGATTCAAATCTTCGAGGGTCAACGAAAGCTTCTCCTTTTGCTTTTCGAGCGAGGTAATCGAGAGCTGGAGATCTCCCAGCTGGCGTCCAAGGTTCTTATTGTCCTCTTCCAGTTTGGACTTCTCTTTCTGGAGCATCGTGACACGGTGGCGTTGATTATCGCTGGCTCTGGAGCTTGACCTGGCGATATCCAAATTCTTCTGTTGGATCTTTGTCATTAGAGACTTGTTGTCATTCTCAGAGGCAGTCAGTCTCCCTCTCAGGGTAACCAGTTCTCTCTCCATGCGCTCTTTTTGCTGATCATGTCGAATCCGGAAGTTGTCAGACTCTGCGATGGCGTTTGTAAGCTCCTGGACCTTGGTCGTAAGACGGGACCTCTCTCGTTCAATTTCGTCTAACAATCCCGTCTTTTGCTCCAGATCCTTTCTTACACTCTCCAGACGCTGGTTAGATTGCTTGACCATGCTGCGCTCGATCTCAGCCTCGGCACTCACGCGAGCATTCTCAACAGTAGTGAATCGATCGCGGAGTTTCACCAATTCAGCTTGAAGATCCCTGCGCGAATTCTCAGCAGCTTGACGGCCTTCGGTTGCGCGGCGGAGCGTGTCTTGTTGGATGTACATCTCCTTCTCGATGATAATCTTGGACTCGTTCAACGACGAGTACTTGTCACGTAACTCAGAAAGATTATGCTCCGCGAGCATTTGCACATCGTCTCTGGATTGTCGCTCTCGGCTGAGATCTGCCTGTGCTTGGAACAGTTGACTCTTGAGGTCGTGGACTTGGTGCTCGAGGAGTTTCCGACTCTCTCCGGCTTCGGCATCTTCAGAGAGCTTCTCCTCGAGTAACTTCTTCACGTCAGAGAGTTCGCGTTCCAATTGGGCTTTGCCGGATCTCATGGCATCAACCTCGGCTTGGACCTCTCGCAAGCGTTTCTGCATATTGTCGTGACGAGTCGATAAAGAAGCTTTTTCTGTTTCTAAATACTTCTTTTCGTCTTCGTGTCTCTTGAAGTCGTTGCGCAGAACAGCCATCTCGCTTTCCTTTCGCCTGAGTATCTCCTCGTATCCAGCTGACGTAGAGGAAATATCCGAGATCTGTTGGCGTATGCCACGGTTTTCTTCAACAAGCTCCTTTGCCTGCTTCTTGGACTGATCAAGCTCTTTCGAGGTTTTGGCGAGCTTGATATCAAGGTCTTGGTCCGTCTTGAGCAGTTTGGTTTCCAGATCCTGAAGTTTACGTTCCTTCAGGCTGACGTGACTCTGGAGCATTTTCAATTCCTGGCCCAAATCTTTAATGCGTTCGTCTTTTTCGGAGGACGAGCTTTCAGCCTCTCTGATCCTGCGGTCAACGTCTTCGAGGTCAGATTGCGTCTGGTTTTTGTCAGATTCGAGGCGTTGAATGATGTCGCCTGCTTGTTCAAGCTGCGTTATCCGATGCTCGAGTTCGTCATCCACCCGCTTCTTCGCCTCGATAAGCTCATCCAACTGATCTTCAAGGTTCTCTTGGTCAGCAATCGCCCCAGCCAGCTTCTCAGAAAGCTCGACCTCACGGACTTGAAGCCGCTTGAAGATTTCTTCCTTGTCAAGGGCCAAGGCCCGCTCACTTTCCAGGGTGTGCTGAATCTTTTGCATCTCCAACTCCGTTCGACGCCGTTCTTCGTCCAACTTCTGGCGATCAGATACGTCCTGTCTCATTTTGACTTCGAGTTGCTGGATCTTTTCATCGCGTCTCTTGACTTCATTGGCGGTCCGTGTCTCTCCCAAAAGTGGCTTCATTCGAGAAAACAGCCGCCACCAAGGACTGGACCTCAACTCAGCAACCGCTCTGAAATTTTGCTGGATGATGCGGGTGGCTTCGGCTCGGTATAGGCGTTTGTTGGAGATCCGTCGCTGCACAAATCCCCGGGAAAGAGACTGGAAGCGAGTCATGATGGAGCGGATCAGTTGGTCGCGTTTCTCTTCCAGTTCTGCGAGTACTCCGGCCCGGAAGAACACCTTCGTTCGGCCAACCCTGTACCAAGTACTATCCAGCCCAAGTTGGTCAAGCATCGTTTTGGCAACGCTTTGTCCATCCATATAGCCTCTAGACATCTTTCGGCATAGGACCTCATATCGTTGGCGAAACTCGGCAAAGGAGAGGCGATTGGGGAACCCTGTGCGGGCAATCCTAATGCCCTCCAGTACACCGTTGCATCGTAGCTGGTCTAGAACAAGGGGCGCGTTTAACATCTTGGGCCGCTTTTTGTGGTTTGGTATAATGCAGCGAACGAAGTGTGGATGGGTGGAGTTTAATTGATTCATCAGGGTCGATAGCTGCTCCTTGTGCCTCTGCGCAACAGTCCTGAATAAGCCCTTCTTCACTCGGCTCTTAGGATAATCCCCTTCTTCGTCCATATCACCACAGTCTGAAAATAGGTTGGCAACATGCTGTTCGGACGAGGCTGCGAGAAGTCGGGAGATGTTGTCGTTCAGAGGATCCTTGTTCTTCTCCAGCCAGTGCTCTGTGGAATATTCCACCTCCGAGGCATAGTGGGTGAGAACGAAGCCTTGGCTCAATCGAGATGAACGGTATTTGGGCGATTTCCTGTCCCAAAGCGAGTGCAACTTTTCTGTAAAGGACTTGTCTGTGGCTTTAGGCATCACACAGTCCTCATCTAAGCAGGAGAATATACCGATGGGGTTGGTCAGCTCAATTAGGTCGATTGTGGGCTGGAGATCTTTTCCAAAATCGATGAACTGCCACTCAATCTGCTCCCGTGCATATTCTTCCTGTTCCAAGACGAACATGTGATGATTGAAAAATTGCTGGAGCTTTTCATTTGTATAGTTGATGCAAAGCTGCTCGAAGCTGTTGTTTTGGAAGATTTCGAAACCGGCAATATCAAGAACACCGATGAAATAAGTGTCTTCGCCAGCCATAGCATTTCGATCAAGCCGGCTGTTGATGCGAGTTACAAGGTCCCCAAAGCCACGCTCATAGATACCTTTAGCTAAGGCATCAAGGGCTAGTCGAACTTGCTCTGGGGTTTGGACTTTTTCCACCCACTCCCGGCCTGCCTTGACCCTTGGGTGCAGTAGCCCCTTCACGAAAGGCTCAGGATCAATACCCAGCAACTCGCAAGCCCTATCTATACTGTTCAGCGAATCGGCGCCCAAGGCAGCTTGGTCTGCTCGGATGCTCTCCTTGACGACGGTGACGTTCCCTAGATGTAGGACCGCGGCGATGGTGCGGAGGATACTCATCTGGTCGCCTTCCGAAAAGTTCATGACATGGAAAGCCTCAATCAGGGAGTTCCATTCCTCTGCATCTGATATACCAACGATGGTGTCGTTGCCGTCCTTGGTATAGGCGAAGTCCTCAATATGGAGGTCCGAAAGCAGCAACTTTTCCCTTAGGGCTGCATCCGCTCCGCGCAACAACTGGTAGAACACGTGGTAATTCCTCTCGTGAGCGTTGGGTTTCACAACACGGGATTTTTCCAGCAAATACCACTCGATCGAGGCGCCGGAGATCTGCCCCGACCGCGAAAATTCAATTCGGATGAACTTTCCGAAACGTGAAGAGTTGTTGTTTCGGACGGTCTGGGCGTTACCGAACGCTTCGAGGATCGGGTTGGCCCTCAGTATCTGCTGTGACAGTGCGACCAGCTGTGTATTTCCAGAACGAGCATATGGGGTGTCCGAGGTGGCAACGGCAGCAAGATACTGGATGACCTTCTTTGTATTCTCCGTTTTGCCCGCTCCCGATTCTCCCGTGACCAGGATGCTTTGATTTTGGCCCTCCTCGACTAGGTTCCGGAACGCTTCATCGGCCATGGCAAAGACGTGAGGTCGGCTTTCGTCTCGACTCCGACCTTTGTACATCTTCACGTACTCGTTCGAGTAAATGGGCAACGGGCAGTATGGGTTTATCGTTACAAGGAAAAGACCGGAGTATGTCTAATGTGCAAAACCGTTAGCTCGTCTGACCACGCAACCCCCTGCAGCGCCCGAATTTCAATGGAGAAACTCACGTATATCAAATCGGACTGGTACCGACTGTGCAGGTTATGTACGACGGAAGCCTCATTGAGGTGTGTAAGCTCCGCCATGTCATCCGCCTTATCAAACTTGGCCGGATTAACCTTGTCAACCTGGTCGGCGTCGACTTCACGCTGCTGTCAACCGGTCAACAATGCGTGAACTATTATCCAGCGACTTTGGACTTCGTACCTCGCCGTCATCACTTTGTACCACCAACCGACCATCCTCTCTCTCTTCTACCACCAGCCCACGTATGAATGCCTTCTCAGGGTCCCGTAGCCAGACGTACTTGTTCCCAGAGAAGTCATTATCACCCTCCAGTCCCCGGATCTGATCGGCTCCCCGACGGAGCTCCTCTGACTTAATGAACTCTGGCGCAAACGTTCCGGACGCAGCGTCGCCTCTGAGTGAGTTCGCCCTCTGTCGATTCACATTTCCTGCCACTGGTGCCGGCGACGACGGAGATATCGAAGATAAGTTGCGGAAATGTCCTTTGGCCTCTTCGAACTTCCCCGATGTCACAATCGCCGACTTTGGGCGAGGGGCTTTCCCTTGCGTTCCTGGAGATGAGGATGGGGATGAGCGACCAAACGGATTGGCACGCCTGGGGGAGCCATTCAACTGGGAAGGTAGCATCTCGTCGTCACTTCAATGGGGCATCATTCACGCAGGAATGTGAGGTTCTGGGGGGTGAGGAGTAATCAAGGTCGGTCGCAGTCAGGTGAAGCTCTATCGATGAAGCGGTGGTCAACACCCGATGTAAGCTCCGTGAGCCTGGAAAAATAAGGGAAAGCAAAGAAAAAACAATTAAGTCTGAAGCAGGCGTATAGAGAAAGGGAATTGAACAAGTCTCGGAGCAATCCTCAACCCAAGTCTTGGTGGATGGTAGCTCCAGGTGGAGAGGGACCAGAGGCTGGCCCTGCCTTGGCCCACTTGTTTGTTTACATCCGGCGTTCCTCAGGCTGCGGGCGCCGATCACGCACTAGTCCCGATCTGGCCATCCCGTCACGTGGCTCCGTCGTCAAACTCGATCGTCCTTTTTTTCCGACTCCGAAGCTGGATCGAGTTGGCTCTCCCGCTTGTCCTTTCTTTCCATCGCGATCGCTCTTGCCCGTCCAACATCCTTTGGTTCATTCCACTCTCTACTCACTGGTCTTGCCTGAGACAAGCTTCACTTCACGCAAGTGTCTATATTCCAAAGGTCTGGACCCTGCAGGCATCCTCACCTGCGTTCGATCCTGCTCCTTGCTGATCCGCATACGCAGATTTGCTCTCCAGGAGTACTGCACCAGCTGGATGATGTGCGATGCTTAAACGCGTTGTACCTTGATGGAGCTAGTCACTTACTTGCAGAGGAAGAATCAGACCTTATCATCATTGGATTTCGCCTAGTTTTCACCGCATTAACCTCGCACCGAACAATGTCTAATCAACCACCGACACCGTCGTATGGCGATGTCAGTCATTACACACACCCGTGGCCACCTCCCTCAAATCCCTTTCCATCGGCTGCATTGCCTCCTTTTTTACCGCAGAATTTCCCTTATGCTCCGAACCTATCGCTCGCGCCGCATCCGTCACGGGACAGCTCCAATCAACCTCGGGAGCATAATGAAACGCAGTTCAACGCAAACTCGCGTCTCCCAGGACTGGGAGCCCCAGGTTCTGGAGCGGCCTTACCACCACCACCATTCCCGTTTCTGAATCCCTTTACACCTCCGCAGTTTCCTTCTCCGCTTCCTTCGATGCAAATGCCACCCATGAACTACTCTCTACCTATACCGCACGCGCCGATGAATGCACCACCGAGTCGGCCTCTGACGGGAGATATCCAGTCACAGGCGAACTCAATACCTGCGAACATGGTGGATATTCCCGCCACCTTCACGTCGCCAGCTCAACATGATCCTGACCGTGAAGAGGGCGAACTGACCGATAGGGAAGGAGGCTGGCCCCAAAGTTCCCCTAGGCCTTGTGGGAAACAGCCGGGGCCGGTAAATGGTCTGGGCGCGGAAACGCGTCCTCCTCAAATGCAAACCCGACGACGACGTTCAAAGTCACGGTACTCGGACCTGGAAGAAGGCGAAGCTTCACCTGACCCTCATTCATCTAGCCGAGCCAGTGGATCCCGTATTTACACCCCCATTATTACAATGCATGTCCTCTCAACTAACACCTTACAGCATATAACCCCCCGATGTCGGTGACCGAGGCGTTCGTCCCTGGTGGGAATATAAACTCGGAAACATTGAACTCGCTCGCGCCGTCGGCTCCCAAGGAAAACGATGCCACAAGGGAACCACAACCGCTGTCTAACCACTCCAAGTCTTCAGCACAACTCCGCATCCAAGCAAAAGGTGCCCTCCTTAGTTTAGCGCCGCACAACATTCGCTATGGTGAGCTTGCTGGGGAAGGCATCAATCCCGCACTTCTGAGACAACTATACGAAGAAGTGGGCATCAAAGTACCCACGCCGCAACCCGCCACTGCTGTTCGCTCAGAATCCACCCGTTCGTCTATAAGCTCCGATAACAGCAAGTCCGTTTCTCAAAAGCCCTTGGACAACCATCGATCCAATAATGTTGAGTCCGATGCTACCACGGGAGCACCTGTTGCTTCTCAGGTCGCCCCTTCCAAGCCGATGGAAAGAAAGGAGTTGATTGCGCGCATGCTTGCCGCCAAAGCTGCTCGACCTTCCGCGGCACCACCGTCGGTGCAGGTCGAGTCTGCCAAGGATGAGCCATCAAGCGAAGGCTCTGCCACGGTGGAGGATCCCGCCAAAGCCGCCCCTTCTCTTGCGACGTCGACCCAGGAAAAGGAAGTGCGTACAAAGGAGAAGAGCAAGGCACAGACCGAGCTGGCACGGCAACGCATTGAGCTCCTCAAAAAGCAAGGCCTGATGAGGAATCAACAAAAGTCGCAACCGGAATCGGTTTCCATAGATAGATCGGGACCAGCTGCCCAGGCAAGCGATGAAGAGCCGCTACCCCCTTCGAACCCTGCGACGATACAGCATCCTCTCCCGGAACGCCCCCCTGATCCGGACTCCACCGCTGGATCTCGTATACCTGGACTTTTTATGGCAGACACAGAAGAGGCCTCACCCGAGCCTCCTCCTACATCGGTCCAGACACTGACGGTTGATCCAACGCAGCAACCCCGGGCAACCCAACGAAAGCGTCCCCGGGCGTCGGACTTTGACGAGCCTATTCCCGTCCCCAAGAAGACTTTCAGCAACGGGACCAATTATATCCCCCCGGATGAAAGACTCATCATTGACATCAGCGACGATGATGAATTCTACGATGATGACGCGGGTGCTATGAATATCGACTCTTTGATCCGAAACCACGAGAACTCCGTAAGGACGTTTCCAGCCACCGACTTGTCGTCGACCCAGGGGCTGTCTGCGTCAGCGACACCCCAATACGCGTCGAATAGCGATACGGAACAGCTCCGCAAGAAAGACCTTGAGATTCAGGCCATGCATCGGCGGATAGCCGAGCTTGAAAAACGCAACAAAGCCAAGCTCGCCGCGAGCCGTACCCAATCACCATACGCCTTAGACTCCCCCGCTTCGCGATCGCCTGAACCCATCGCCGCGGAGAACGGAGCTAAATCTATACCGACTTCGCTGGCCCTCCACCATTCATCCTCGTCACTTCCTCAGGGAGTTGCCCCCCGAAGTGTGGACGGACCAGACGATGTGCGGGCCAAACTTTTGCGGAGAAAGGAACTAGAATCGGGTATCCCGGCCTTAGATGCCGAAATACAAAGAACTGAGGCAAGATTAGCGGATTTCCGTGAGCAGGAAGCAAGTATCCTCTCCGAGATAGCGAAAGGCAGGGAGGGGCGAGAGCACCTACTCGAGGAACTGCACCAACTAGATCTGGAACTGCATGGAACATCCTTTGAAGGAGTTGAAGCCAAGCTACGTAGCCCGCCGGCCGAGAACGGCGCCCAGGAAACAGATGAAGGTATGCTCATCCTTGTTTTTTCATTTTTTTTTTTTCTTTCATCAACACTCGAAACGGTCGAGATCAATGTTGAGTTGGACGCGTGATCTGAAACTTACTTGGTATACACTCCGATTTATAGTCCCTACTTCCGAGCATGCGTTAGGCGGAGATGCAGTCACGATTCGGGACAGACTCGGGAGTCCCGGAGCAGGGTCTGCTGCCGAAATGGCTTCTTTTCAAGAACAGCTGACCTCCACTGGCCCTGAACCGATTGTGTGTGAACAAATAGAGACCGCGATAGGCCCCGCGAACTCTAATCGGGAATCTTCGCCCATTTCTTCATCCGAATCTACGGGATCCGCTATGGACGAATCCAATGGCAGTTCTGACGAGAGCTCGGGCAGCCCTGACCCCGAAGAACCTCGTCAACGGACCCCATCCCTCTCAGTTGCTCCTGGTCAAATGAGTGAGGATCAGGATAGCAATGATCCAGCCAAAACGGAAGGGCCCCATCCTCTTCCGGAACGTCCGCCGCTAGCAGTCGACCAGACTGCAGCCGACATGGCCGCCGACGCTACTGAGCAGGTCGCTAGTATCTCCCGAGACCAGTCTTCTCGCGAATCCTCGGTGTCAGAGGCCTATGAGCCTCCAGAGCCAGAGGGAAATGACAGCCCTGCTGGCTCTGTCTACACTCCTCCACTTGATCCTCCCTCTCCTGGCCCCGTCGAGCTCAATGAGGGGTCTCGGTCTCCAAACAATCAGTTGCAGAAACCTGATGATGTGCTGACTGGAAAGGACCAGGGATTGGAAGTCCAACGCCCCAGATACCATACGCAGGTTGGCCTTCTAGATGATGTACGATAGTTCTCGGTTCCCATCAGGACCATGCTAACTCGTGGTTTAGAACAAGGGGCAACCTGAACGTACGGAAAGTAAATTTACTCCGTACCAGAGTGCGCTAAAGAACTTCAAGACCTATCGGTATCATCCCAAGTACGATGATGAGGTCTCGGAGGGTTTTCGGTCCCTAACGTATAGCCACAACATTGACCCCATGAAGTGTCTTTGTCCGTTCGAGGCTGCAGGGGGCGTCTGCAACGACCACTCCTGTGAATACCAACATTTTCGGGACATGTCTCTGAGCGGTGCGTCGACAAATTCAAGATATCCCGCAGAACCACTCCCGTCATTTGATTTATCCTGTGCCTTTTTTCTTTCCTGATTACCACTATCTCCATCTGCTTGACCCTTCCCCGAGGCCTTTTCTGCTGCCATGTGCATTGTGTGGATGCTGACAGACAGGCATGTTAACTCGAGCAGAAGACAAAGTCCTTGTTCAAATGGGATCGCTCCGAGAGGGCAAGACATCCGAAGAAAAAGACAACTACATCGCTGGTTTGAAACAGATCATCAACGACATGCGACGCGACAAGGTGAAAGACTTTAACACTGTGGCCAAGGAGATTGCCGCATACCGTAGACGCTTTCTTCAAGACCCCTCTCGGATCCTGCCTTTGTAACTGTTCCCTCTTCTATCTGGGCCACAACCGACTCGGCAGCTCGATAGGGGATGCCATCTCTTATCAAGGTGAGCGGCCGAAGAGTTATCCGAAAACCGCCGATCCACAGCCGGCGAAGCACAAGAGCTATCTCGCCAATGGCTCACTCATGCATGACATTTTGGCCTTGGCCGTAGCAGCTATCCTCCAGTTTTCCTTCAGCATTTTTTGATACCCGCATATCTACTCGCATCACACGCTCTCTTCTGCATATGGATTAGCAAGTACAGTGTTTTGGTTTTTCATTTCTTATCCTTCATTTTCCTCCCAGGGAACTGCACCCATTTATTCTGCCAGAAAGAGACAAAAACAAGAAAAAAACATGCAGTTGGCAGAGAACATTGTCTATCCGCCTCTTGAGAAGTGGACGCAAGCTGATTGCGCTATAAATTCGACAGCTGGACAGGTGCCCAGCCAGTTGCCTGATGAATTGGGCATATGACGGATCGAGGGTCGATCGTCAGTAAGACACTGGGCTAGAATTCTATACATAGCATAGCGAATGATTATATTCTTTTCCACATATGACTATATGTTTTACTGGTATCAAACTGTCGGAAATGACGTTTTTAAAATAGTATCTAATCATCGGTCAGATGAACCACGATATGTCGTACCATAAGTGTCTGACAATAAACCATTTCACTGCCTTCTCAATACTAATACAAACAAGGCAAAAGTCATAACCGCAAAGGGCCAACATGTCAGTTGACTTGGTAAGACTCGAAGGTTTCCTCGACCCCCATCGTCCATCTATCTACAGGCCGGTCTTTGACGCATAAGTAGGTAGTTGACAAGTTAGTCTTCCGACAACATTGCACCCCTGAAATCTGGCTCGACTTCCCCGGAATAAGTCATCGAACAGTTTTCTACGTAGTTGACATGGAATAGAAACGGGCATGGAATGGGTTTCCGTCATCTTCGCCATTTGTTTTAAGAGATCACAGACAGGGTGTGTGGTCGAAACTTGATTTCTACCTGTCTATAACACAGACTTGGTATTTTCAATCCCTACAGTCATGATACTCATCTGTAATAATCATCGAGAATAGAATCCAGGGTGTCTGTCCTGTATATCTTGCAGTTTCAGTGCCGTGTGAGAGATGATTCTCCAAGTGGCCTACTAGGCACCATGGCTAGTGGATCGTGCGCCCAGTGCGTAGTCCAGTGAGATTCACGCTGTTACCTCTGCAAAAAGAGGTCAAAACATCTTGTTCGAGTGAAACATGTATATATCCACTGACCGCAGATCACAGATGCTGACCACCGATCAATACTCCACTTTCCTACAATCCTTCACCTGCACATTCATCCTCCATGACATGTCGTCTTATCTTGTGACATTTTGTTGATGACTCCATGAGAACTTGCCCTTGCCCTTGCCTGGTAAAGGTATCCCTTTACCACCGAAAAACAGAAGCACATCTTGAACCTGGGAGACATCCACCCCGGCATTGAATTTCCGCGGAAGGCTCAAAGTCCAAGTGCAAAATGGACTCAAGGATATCGATTTCTGGACTGACTCGTCGAAATCCACCAACATGCCGCCCGAAATGTGCTTCTCCGTTGTATTGCCATTCGCATCCGTGGCCACTTCATACTTGTATGCCCCGATGATAGGGTTGTGCGTGAATTCGAGGACAGTAGTGGGAGACCTTGGGTGTACCACCCTGCAATCTCCGTAGCATTTCAACCTCACATTAATCTCCTTGAGGTCCGAATTAAACCGCACACCAGGCAGGGAGACAGCGAATTTCGTTAGCTGGAGCTGTGCCAGCCCCTGGAAGCATTGCTCATCAAGGGGGATGTGGAAGATGAGATCTCCACCTTTCTGAAACGTGGTGAAGGAGTCATCAGTTGCATTCTTCTTGGGATGTGTCACCAATTTATCGAACGGCTGTTCAATTGAACTGGTTTTATTTTCATGATCGAGTGCTGCGTGGAGGATCTTAGTCTGCATATCGTTCAGTTCGGCCAGACTGTGTCCACTCTGGAGAATTGGGTTGTAGTCCTCCAATGTGCGGTATCGATAGGCCATAGCCTCATAAAAGAGCTTATCAATGAGGGTATCTTTGTAGTTGTGGTACAACCCCAGGAGGAAGGTTCGATAGGGTGCGCATGTTGGATCTATCTTGCCGCTCGCTGCGCTCTTGAGCTCATCGAGCTGCGCTTGCGTTTGACCGATTTTGCCGTTCAATTCCATCATATCCTCATCTATTCTAGCACACTGAAGGACTTTCATGTTCCGTGCCTTGCAGATTTCGACATAGCTTCGTATGACGGTTCTGTAAGCCTGGGCTTCGGGTATGTCCGAGTACTCATTGAGATGCTGATCGACTGCGGCCACATCGGCGGCCAGCTTCGCAGAATCCTGGCCGTCGGACTCCAGTAACTTCTCGGTTTTGGACCACTCCTCTGCCGCATTAGACAAATCGTGTGTAAGGATATTGATAGTCTTCACGAGACCCAAGGCGTCCGAAGGTAATTGGCCGGCGAACGCGATGCCCGCACCATTGAAGCCTGCTTGCTTGATATTCTGTAAGAGACCCACCATATTTGCCGGGAGTGGTGCCAGCGAAGCAACAAGGCTTATAGCCGCTTCGAACTTCATACACCGTTCCTTCCGCTCGACCGCGTTCTTGAACTTCGACTCAGCACCCAACAACTTGCCCCGAGCCGCGACGACTTGCGAATCCAGGGTGGCGCATTCGTCCCACAGTCTCTTCCGCTGCTCAATTTTGGCTGTGATAGTGTCTTTGTAGGTTTGGATGGCCTTCGATCCTGCGCTGAAGGCATTGGCGAACCCGTTATACCCTTTTTCCTGTTCCCCTAAATATTGGGTATAAGTATCGAGCACAATCTGTATCGTTGTCCCCAGCGTCAACATCTGCGTGACAGAAGAACAATACAGGGCAAAAGATGCAGTAGGGACAAAGTTGGCCGCATTGCCAAAAAAGTCGAGTCCCCGTACAATCCGTGACAGATAGGTGGCCGCTTGCTGGTGCAAACCGTCCCACTTGGCATTCTTCCGGTCCGCTGTCAAGCCGAATATCCACGCGAGGATATTCTTGGCCGGCTCAAATTCGTGGTCAAGGTAGCGTATCTTGACGGCTTGCATCATCAACTGAAGTTGAAGAATCAGCTCGGGATGAGGCGGGAATGCCGCTTGGATATCCTTGATATTAATAGGCGTAGTACCTTCGATCTTTCTCCCATTTTCGCCATAGACACGCTGGCCAGAATGGCCATTTCTTCCGTCTTTCCCGTTGCTATATGTTTTTCCCGTGTATCTCCACTGAAATACCCCCGAACCAGGGAAAAGAAGTTCCTTCCATTCGTATATCCCTCCTCCACGTCCCCCTTTCCCACCAGCAGCTCCAGCGCCAGGAGCTCCTGGCTCACCAGCGAGCCCTCCCATTTGAGTGAACTTCCAGTGCTCAGGCGCAACGACACTGCGTGTAGTCACAATGCCTGCGTTGCCTCCATTCCCCGGTCTCCCGCCATTGCCCCCATTTCCTCCTCTTGAGCCGTCCTTCCCCGGTGTCCCTCGGAAAATAAGAGTATCACGCCGGCCTGACCTACCATCACTCAGGCCATCAGCGCCAGATGCTCCCGCTGCGGCATCCCCACCCCCCTGGCCATTGCGTCCGTTTGCACCCGATGCGTCTATGAGCAATTCACCCTCAATGCTGCCAGTCACAAACGTAACATTTCCTCCGTGGCCACCAAAGTCCTCTTTGGCGATCGGGTCCCCATTTTGCCCATCCACATTCCCATGGTTCACCTGTGGATCACCGCTGATCGGGGGCTTTTTCGGCGGGGCATCCTTCTTCGAGTCTGGGGGCCGAGTACTGATCTGTATGCCATTTGTGACCAGGTGTCGGCAATAGATATCGAGACTGTGGCCGGGGAAGATCAATTTTCCTTTCCCTTCATCAAATGTAAGGGTATCGGCGAAGATGTAACAATTCTTTGTAGGATCAATCAAATCGGCAGTGAGTGTCAAGTCACTCGCTAGGATGGTATAGGAGATTGCATCCGAGTATCGCTGGTAAGTGAAGTCTCGTGTCACTGACATTCTGATTTCTGATGCTAACACTACCACTGCCACTAATACCTGGGCTTTTCAAAGCCCAGGGGTGGGGGGTCTTTTTCATCGGTCACGGAAGGAGACGGAATAGACTGGCCCAATCTTTCCCAACTGGGTAGGCCTACATTCTAGATCCAGGTTGGCAGCCCGCAGGTGATGTGTATGTTAGATCCATCGCGGACACTCCCGGGAGCTTCCGTAGTGGATACTGCACAGCACTTGGATCTCTTCACGTCAACTGTAAGGATCATTGAACCGAACAAAAACAGATTGACTCGGTAAGGACGAGACCTCGAAAAGGAGAAGAAAGATTAGTAGAATTCATTCAAGAACTAACCCTTGTCTTTCGACAAAACAGACGAAGATGAAGTACAATTACATCATGATAGCTCAGCAACCTGACGGATGCGGACAGGGACACCCCTTAGGGTTGCGTCCCGGATCGTCGGTAGCTGGAGTCGGTGGCAGGGTAGCAGTACCAGATCATTCAGAGCTGTCATGATCTATTTTATAGACTTGTGTCGTATCGCACCACGTCACGCTAGGTTGCATTTGCAAAGCGTGTCTACGGAGTAGATATCTTCCCAAGGTCCAGACTCCAATGGCTGATCTAAATTGCACCCTGCCACCTGCATAAGTGACAGGACCAATACTCCGGTCTACACCTCTCTAGGTTGATTTGTCCTTTCTGTAGCAAAATGATGCAGGTGAGCTATTTTGCTCATGATCTATATGGTCTCGTGCTCGAATACTGGCCAAGAACAGCAAGTTCTGGTGCCACGTAGTTCTTCTCACGAGGCATTCATTTCGGAGTCGCAGCATGATACATTATACATAATGTATGTGCTGTCCTGTTATCTTCAATCGGGAATGGGGAATGAGGGAGTATTCTCATGATGCGATCCATCATTCAACCTAGTAACCCTCACCAACTCTCTCCATTTCTGAACCCTTCAACCATCAAAACCAGCGCGAGAAAGGGTCTTGAAATTTAATTGAGATTAGCATAATTTCAAGCATCATTAGACAGACATTTTATATGTGTCCAACCCTGCACCTTACGTGTAGAGCACCAGGGAGATTGCGGGGGGGGGGGCTTTTCCGTGGTTGCCCCATACTTCCCTATATCCTTCGGTTCAGTTGGCCCTTGTTGAAAATGCACCCTGTCTAGGACTTTCCCATGTTCGTATAAGATGAACCCACAGAAGAAAAGCCGTACCAGCGTTCACAAAAGTTGTAGGCCGAATAAGAGTAGAAATCTGAAGAAAGTTCGCTATCGTCGATATGGTTCGCCCCGACCCGTATATAGACTTGGATCCAGTAACTATAGGCTTGTTTTAATGATCTAAAGCAGGCAATTGATGCAGACGAGACGACTGAGGAGGAATTTAAAGCAGAAACATCTCATTATTCTTGACATTTACCTTGATCTCCGCTGTTATATGACAACACGCAGTCGGTATATATCCTCATTTGGCTGTTTTATATGCTTGTCAGACTTCACCAAGCAGTTGCACCGATAACTCATTGTTGTTTTGTTTTTGTCCCACTTGTAGCAGCACTTGAGCTATTTGCATATCCTTATACTATATTTCATGATGCATTTGACCAGAAAGAATCATATATTGGAATATATGAGAAAACCCCCTTAATTTACAGGACTAAAGACATACCTACTTACCTTGCAGGTTGACATTAGTCCCACTGGAACCCAGTCCGAACAAAATTGTACATATCATCACCCTGAATTCCGTACTTTTCAATCATAAATATCTGTCCAGTTTGAAATAATTATCAATGACCACAGGATACTCAAATTGACCCCGTTGGTACCTACCTACCTCTAGGTAAACATATTGTCTTGAAAGGCTTGATTAGATAGATTCATGGTGTTCAGCAAAGGAGGACGACTGAGCACTTTGTAACCGCTTGTCAGCTAAAACACTAGCCAGTTTTCGTATGGCTTTAGTACCAGGTGCAAGACCACGTCGATCTGCATCTCAAATCTACTTTACAAGTGGCTTCTTCCTTGATGTTGGTCAAATCAACGCGTCATGGGCAGCCCTTTGAGTGGTAGGGACGCGTACTTGGAGAGTCGCTAAACTTGCCGGCGTAGTAGTATGAGTAGTAGGCTATAAACTGTATCGCTAGATACTCAAACAGTACAGTACTCTGTGCAACGCAAGACAGAAGTAGGTAGTAGACTCTGACACCGGAAGAAAGCAATTAGATTCCCGGCCTGCGATACTTCGAACTTTATATTTGTCATGTATATGTATGTGATCGAGCGACACCACATCAACACTCATCGAGTGGTAGATAGTAGATAGATAATTACCGTAACGCCAATAAAGAACAGTCCCACTTGTCAGGCTGACAGTCAGTGATAAAGTGTTAAAAAGGAAAGACAATACTATATGGGTATGATATGATATGACAGGTTATGCATGCTTTAGGGCGAAAGAGAAAAAAACAAAAAAACAAACTACAACGTCATCCAAGCCGCAACGCCCACCACGAACGGAATCACGTATGCCATAGGCGTTGTTATCGCGCTGCGCGGCTGCGCGGCTGATTTCAGCGAGGTGGATGTGAAGACACTTTCGAAGGAGATGGCGCTGGAGTTGAAGCAGTTGTCGCGGGTGACTTCTGCGACGTCCTCTGGTTCGGCGAATTCGATATCGGCGCACTATTCGCATTTCGGATTAGCTGTCTTGGATTGAAGTAGCGATAAGAAGAGAAAGGGGGAAATACATTATATAGGGCAGCGCCGTGTTTGGCAGTCTCGATCACCTGGATCGTGGCAAGGTCGCCCACTTTGGGAGATACTCCCTCAGGGAGCAGAACCTGCGGCAGACAGATGGTGCCTGGGTAGGGGTCGTTGGTGGGCCCCACGATCTGGAACGGCGGGACCATCGGGTGGCTCATGTTCGGGGGAGTCCCGCCCATGCCGAGGTTGATGTAGATAAAGGCTGTGGCGTGGCCCTGGAACCAGCCGGGCTGGAGGGAGATGGCACCGCCGCCGACGGGCCATTTGGTGCGGTTTTGCGAGGTGGGCATGCCGCCGCCTGGAGGAGTTAGTATGGAGTCGGGTTAAAGTGTTCTGGAGGTAATGTCTCGTACATGGATAGATCCACTGCATCCCGTAGGGATACATGTAGGTGTCATTCTTGGTGTTGTAGGCGACACCCAAACCGTCAGCGGCCTCGATGGTGCCGTTGGTGTGCAGGTTATTCCCTCGATAACCCGGGTAGACGATGACACTGTGGGCGTTTGTCCATCCCAAACACAACAAGAGGACAGCCACCCAGTGCGAGACGGAAAAGGAACTCATGGTGGAAGGAAGGAAGAGAAGGATGGAACAGCGAACCGAGCAAAGTCGAGCAATCGCACCAGTCAAGTCTCTGCGGTCAACCAGACACAGCACGGATTGATCATCGCGAAACAAGCTTCAGCAGCGACGAGGACAGACGGGAAGGACAAGACTTTTTGAGGGAAGGCGGCTGGTAGGGGAGCCGTTCATGCAGCAGGCGCTCACATCAGGACTAGCCGGGGTGGAGTGGCGGGCGAGTGAAGATGTACGAGAGGGGATGTGACCACACCCGCAGGTTGGTCGACGGGTATGGACGTGCTGAGGGTGTTGACATGGGGATGGGCCAGTTAGGAACGGGGATGGGGTTGACAAGGGGAGAGAGGGGAATGGACATGGGGTGAGGATTGGCCGGTTGCACATCAGCCATGCAGGTATCATCACCTCGACGGGCGAGTGAGGGCTGTGATTCGTGGATGGAAGCGCCCGATCGAACTAGTTATCACACCTTGGAGACCTCAGTAGTCGATTCTGGGCGCGTAAGTGACGAGCGTGGTGATTGGCCTGCAGTAGTTGGAAGAAGCCTCCAGATGTATATTAGGTACTAAGGTAGGAGTAGTACCTAGTAGCTAGGATCCTTGACGTCTTGATTTGTGTACTCGAATACATCCTGTTCATACTTATGAGCAGAGATCAACCTCATAGACATGGTTCTAGGGATACAAACTGCATTGTGACTTAAAAGCAATCATTGGTTGATTTTATCCCACTACAGAAGCAAGACGAGAATAGAATAGAGGAAGAATGGATGACAAGGCAAGAGAAGAGAGAAAAGTAGATGAAGCCAAAGAAGAGAGAGGGAGATAAGATACCACTATCACCACCTGACCCGACCCTATCTTATCGCCCATCCAATCTAATCGCGATTTTCTTCATTTCTCTCCACACATCACCATCACCATCACCACTCTATCCAACAAGACCCCAATTGCCAACAATATATACACATACATCAAGAAACAAAAGAACAGCCAAGAAAAAAAAAAAAAGAAATGCCACACACATCCCGCAAAAAACGCCCCACCAACACCAAACGTCTCCAAATTTCCGACCCCTCCTCCGGCTGGACGCACATCACCACCACCGCCCACTCCTCCTCCACCTCTAATAAGAACAACACGATAGACGAACTTCTCCCCGCCGAAAGCCCCCCGAAACTCACCCTCCCAATTCTTCAATCCCAATTCGCGACCCACAAGCAGAAATATGACCTCTCCGCGACGGCGCAAACGCTCCGATCTACAATCCGCAATATCTTTTCCCATCATAACCACCCCGACGACGACGACGGCAATGACAACCTCAATAAGCAGCTCCCCACAGAAATAATCTGCATAGGTCTAGGTAGCCTAAGCGGCCTCCTCCGCGGCGGATGGGTCGATCGTCGTCGGGTATCGATGTATCAGCTTGCTGCGCTGGTGGGGATCATTGAGTGTTTTGGTACTCTTACCTTCTCTTCCTCTTCTCTGTCCTTCCTCCAATCCAACCAAACCATACAGACTACCAGTAAGCTAACAAATGTAAGAAACCCAAGAAGACACAAAAAGAATACCAATCTACGCCCAAGACCCTGTCTTCAACACCCTCGACAAAGCCCTGTTCTCCTCGCTCAACATAACAGTGGTGGAATCCCCCCGCGCATTCGAGTCAGTCGGTCCTCGCACATTACTGTTTTGTCCTGGGGCGGAGAGGGCGCATCTGAAAGATATGATGTTGCGCGGGCCGGGGGTCGTTGTTTCTTCTTGCGATGATGATGAGATTCTTTCGAACTTGAATATTGGTCATGATGGTAATGGTCATGATGATAATGGTGGCGATGATAATGAAAAAAAAGAGGCGAAGACCAGACAAGGAGTCAAGCTACCTCTGTTTGAAGAGCAGGAGAGTGCGTTTTGGGGGGTGGGGGTTTATTATTACTGAGTTTACCTTTCTTCCCCGTTTTCCATCTGTATACTATAATATAGCATCATGTAATAGAGAATATTCCATAATAGTTACGCTAGATGCATGTGAATCCTAGGTAGTCACGCCAGCCAAATATATACAACCCATAAACAAACAATATCAAACACAAAACACCAGGGAGAAACAGCGTCATAGAATACACACCGTAACATAACAATCCCAACCCAACTCCGGAAACAGGACGACCAAGCATACATGAAGGAAGGTAGAAGTTAACATGATATTATGCATCGAATGGAGCCCATAGCATCTCGCTGTGCTCTTCGTAAAAAGGAGCGTAAAAGGAAACGGAAAAGAAAAAAAGAGAAAAAAAAAGGATCAATCGACGGTCTTGCCGCCGCAGGTTGGGATCTTGATGCCTGGCTTGAGTTTGCGGCCCGGGTCCATCAGACCCCATTTGTCTTCCCATTGTTCCTTTCCTTTGTTGAACCGGACTTTCCAGGGCTCGTCGAAGGCTTCGAACCTGTGTGCTGTTAGTCTTTCTTTCTTCATGGGGTTGATGTGATGCTAGAGAGGGAGAGAGGGGAACGTACCAAAAATAATCAGTCCCATTATCCATCGCCTGACACACCCAATCCGACATGAACTGGTTCAGCTGGTCAATACCAGCCACCGAGCCCGACGTATCATCCGGGCAGTTGGCCCCCTTTCCGCAGTCGTTGCCGCCGCCGCTGGGCCAACCCACTTCCGAGATCACCTGCTTCTTCTTGGTGCCCTTGGTCAGGACCACGTCGTGGCTCTGCCAGAAATCCCAGGTCCAGCTGGCGGCGAGGTCGACCTTGACGCCCGCGAAGAAGGGGTGGACGTTGGACATGACCATGTCCGACACCTCGACGAGGTCCTTCTCCCAGTTGTCGCCCAGGTCGGACGTGGCCACGGGTAGGTCGAACCCGTCCTCCTTGAGGCGCTTCCGAACGTCGTTCATGTAACCGATGAGCTTCCTGCGCGCGCTGTTGATGTCGTGGCCCGCGCGGAACAGCGCCTCGTTGCCGACGATGACGCCCTTGAAGATGGTCTTGTCGTCGGTGTTGTCGAGGATTTTGTACAGCGACGAGATCTGCCGGTCGTTGGTCTTGTTGTTGTCGTCGATCCACACCCCCAGCCAGAGCTTCATGTCCTTGAGTTCCAGCCGCTCCATCGCGTGCAGGACCATCTCCGTCTGGTTGCAGTCGGTGCCGTAGAGACGGACGGTGTTGGTCAGCTGCGAGAGCACGGCGATGTCGCGCGTGACGTTGTTCTGCGACGGCGGGTACTTCTCGCACAGCGGGTACTGCACCCCCCACGGCGTATAGTCCATACCCGGGAACACCTTGGCGAGGCCCGGCATGTCCATCAGCTCGCGGATCTCGTCCGAGTCCTTGCCCAGATCGCCGTTCGTCTCGTTGTCATCCGACGCGGACATGCCGGAGGGTTCCTCCTTCTGCCCCTTGCCCAGCGTCCCGCCGACCGCGCCGCCGACGATGGCCCCGACAATGACGAAGGCCAGGATGATGCCCACGATCCAGCCCCGCTTGCGACTGCCCCCGTTGGGCTTCGGCTTGATCCACTGGCTCTTTTCGTTGCCGGCCTCCAGGCCTGAGCCCGGAACTGCATTGTACGCCGCCGCGCCGCCGGCCGCGGCCCCCACCGCCGCCGCCTTGGAACCGGCAGACTTGGAATTCGGAGGGATGAAGCCGTCATCGCCGTCGTCGACGATCTCGTCCGGGTTGATGACGAGGGGGTACTCGTTGGAGTTATACGCAGACTGTCGCTGATACGGACCGCCGTTGAAAGCGCCGACGTTTTGATAGGGGCTGTCGGTCAGGCTGGGTTGCGACGGATTGGACGCAGGGATTGAATGGGCAGCCGTAGCGCCCGCCACGGCACCCAGCGCCGCGGACGGTCCGTACGTCTCCCGCGGTGGGCGCAAGGCGTTCGAGTGTGCGTAGGGACCATCCGGCGGCATGGGAATGTAGGGGTTGTCGGCGCCGGTGGCGTGGTACTCCCGTTCGGCGGGCATGTGGTGCATCGGGCCATCCGTTTCTCTCATCGCATCGATGCCACTCTGCCGGTCATGGGTGTTAGCGACGCCCAGAGCGACTCCCCCAATGCCGCCACCTACCGCGGCGGGGCCCAGGTTATCCATGCCCGGAGTCGCGGTCGAATTCGTGCGCATCGACTGCGAGGGCCCGAGATTCCGCTGTCCTTGTTCCGACACCGACGACAAGCCTTGACCGCCCATCAGGTGTCGGGTTTCCGGCGATGCATATTGTCCCCGATCGGCTCCTCCCAGACCGTCATCGCCTTGTTCGTAGCTGAAAGCCCGGTAACCACCGGACATGCTGGTGCGTGAGTTCGGCTGCCTCTGTTGGTCTCGAGTGCCCCTCGCGAAGGGGGGAAAGTCGGGCGGTTCGGTGGTAGCAGGCTGAACGGTGGAGAAGAAAAAAAAGGAACGAAAAAAATAAATCGGCTCAACGAGATGGGGGTAAAAAAGAATATGTATAAAAAAACAGAAAGAAAGAAAGAAAAGCGGGAAGGTGATTAATCAATCAATCTGAAGCGACGGAACCCAGACCCTGGATCATCTGAAACAGCAGGGGAAGTGCACTTTTCGAGTTTGAATCCGAGGGTATCGAACCGCGGTTCCACAGAGGGCGACCCAGACTTTGGGGCGATGGGGACTCGGGTCACTGCTGGATCGGGAGAGTCAGTTTTGAACCGTTCTGGATTTGATCTGAGGATGTACCCGATCGGCGATGGAGGGACGGGGAGAGTGGGCAGTGGAACTGACAGTATGCGACGACGTACAGAGTAAGTGAGAGGTCAATCGGGGGTCTGAATTAGGTGGATGGATGTCGATCGGTCGACGATCTTAGATTCTTTGCGATGGCGAGAATCGAGGAATGATGTCGGGGAGGAAGAGAGGGTATCGAGGAGATAGAAGAGCCAGTCGAGGAGAAAGAGGAAAGAGTAAGAGGGAGAGAGAGAAAGAGAAGGAAGAGAAAGAAAGCGACGAGAGAATGGCTGGACGAAAGACGGACTAGGATTAAAGTAGGCTTGACTGCAAGCGGTGATGTTTAGTTTCGTGGTGGTTGGGTTTCCCGAGGTCCCGTGCCCGGGCAACGTTCTCAGAGTACTCAGTACGGACAGAGTACTGACAGCTGAATCGGATTGTGTCAATCTATAAATATATTAAATTCATCCTACATTCCTGACACCCGTCTATTTCATCCGCTTCCGTCTGGTTCCATCCCGTCCTGGGAACCGCACGCGGTGGCACTAGACTCCATTCCACTCATTCTTGCCATGTCTCAGTTGAAATCGCGTGAATGGAGGGGAAAGAGATGACTCCGTCATGTCAGCAGAATTAATTAATACGGATGTCTCAAAACAACACTGAAAAAAAAGGGTCCGGGGTTAATCAAAATCAAGCCACAGTCAAATGAAACAATCAAAATCAATTCATATACGGATAGTAGGTAATACTAAACGACGAGGTAGTAGGAGCACAACGCAAGTGGACTCCAATCCGGTCATTCCATTCCAGAACCCAACAATCCTGTCCTGTCCCCCGAATCCAAAGTCCAAGTCCCATCATGATTCATGCCTCGTTCCCTTGAATCCCAGCGTAATCATCACAATCATAAAACTTCACAAATCAATCAAGAAAACCAGAAGCAGCAGGAAACAAACGGAAAAACAACAGACAATCATCAAACAAAAGGGAAATAGAAGATCAACCAGAGAAAAAGAAAGAAAGAAGAAGAATAAACCCAAGTATACCTCGATACCCATCCAACTCCAATCCCGAAGCCCTAGCGACCCTGTCCTGCCGTGCGGTATAGCTCATTATCGTATTTTACATAGCGGACTCGTTCGCAATCATCGTCTTCGGATCAGAGTCCAATAGTTAACCCCGGGGAACCGAGGGCCAAGACTAGAAAGAAAAATGTCAAAAAGTCGAAAAAGTCGGAAAAGAAGAAAAGGAAAAGAAAGAAAAGAAAAGGTGGGGTGGGATGACGACGTAGGGCTAGCCAACGATGCATCATCCCCAAAGTGATATGATAGATCAACTCCCCCCACCTCAAGCTTCCACTTCCTCGGCGCTGCGCTGCGCAGCAGACAGCGACTGCATGCCGCCGCGGCCCGAGGGCGCCATTGGTCGTCTCCTGTGCTCCAGGAATCGGCGCTTCCCCGCCCGAGTCTCAAAGTGGCGCGGGATGGAGGTCGGCTCCTGGCCGGCTCCTAGCATCGTGCTGCGCATCTTGTTCCGGTATGCATCAACTGCGAGAATTGGTTAGTAATGGCATTCAAGGGGCTCCGGGCCGCGTGTCCGGGAGCGATGGCCGATTGCGTGGGTGAAGTCTCCGACCCGCATGCATGCAAGGGGGCCAGGCAGACACATAGTTCGAAAATGAAATAGGAACAAATGGAAGGAAAGGACAAGAGACAGAAAATATGATATCAAAACAGGAATGAATATATAGAAACGGATATGCAAGCCAGACGATCAAATATAAAAAATAAAAGGGATAGGGAAAGCACTTACGAGATCGCTGCAGAAACAACGGTCGGCCAGCAAACACCCGGCTCTGGCTCCAACTCATTCGGTAACCCAAGTCGTTAAGCATTACATCCTGACGGTGTCGCCTACGAGTCAATCGAGGCACCGCGATCTCGCCCTCGCCGTCAAGCTGCGGGGCAGGTGCCATGATGCGCCCCACCGTCGCGGTCTCATCATCGTCAGTCATGGTGTCGTCCTTAAGATACCGTTTTCCCGGAACAACGCGGCCACGCGGGTTCTTCATCTGCACGGGGAAGTATGACCGGGGGTAGACCGAATTGGACATGCGGTACGAGTCGGGGATCTCATTCATGTCGACCTGGTCCAGCATAACCTTGACGCGGACACGGCCGCCGCGCTGGGGGTCTTCGACCAGGATGAATTTCCGCCGCTTGCCGTCCGGAAGGGTGCCGAATAGAGCGTCCTCGGTGGGATTGCGTTCGTCGTCGTCCCCCTCCTCGTCGATGTTCATCATCTCGCCGGCTTTGCTCGAGGTCGCCACGGCTGGATGCCGGCCTAGGCTGCCGATTCCAGAATCGCGCATGAGAGGTGGAATAGATGGGCCGCGTGCCTCTCCGGCCATTGCTGACGAGGGCGGGAATCCGGGGTAGCCGTGGAACACCTGCGCGGTGCGGATGTCGGTGGGCGAGGGTCCCGGCCCGTGGTTGTCCATTGTTGCGGGGCGATTGGCACCATTCGTCAAGTCGGCACCTAAAATATAGACAAGAAATTAAGAATTAGCCTACATGGGCTGCAAGGGGTACGTGATGAAATGAAGGCGTAAGGGGGTACAAGCATGGACAGTCGCATCTGAGGCATCTGAGGCCAAAAGAAGAAAAAGGACAGGAAGAAGGGAAAAGGAAAGAAAGGAAAATGAATGAAAGTGAAGGAATGTGAAGGGAAAAAGGTAAATAGTCAAAGATAGAAAATTGGGTATGGGTTAAGAAACAAAGACAGAAGACAGGAATCGCATCGGGTCACATAAAAATACACCTGTACGATATCCACCATGCCACAATCCCCAGAGAAGCAGAGAAAACACCCTCAAACACTCCATGTGTCCTTCCCACCGGTCATGTGGCACAACAAATGAGACAATCGTATATATAGGAACAAAACAAAGCCACTTGGAAAACAGCAGAACAGGATATATCAGATATGGTGGAACATACCGCTTACTTCCTCATTCGGATGTCCTTCGGGTTGGGCGTGGTGATGATGCAGTTGCGGAGGTCCCATGGTCAGAGGACCAAGGCTCGGGCGAGAACCAGGGGCAGCCGTCAGATTGACGCCCGGTACACTCGGGGTGACGGGTGATGCGCTGGCCATGTGGGACGAGCTTTGTGGCATTCCCTGTCGTCGGGTCATTTTCGCCATCCGTCTCACACGCCTGCTGCGGAGGCGGGGGTCTTGGTTGCTGTTCCTCCAGCTATCGACTGCTCGTTGGATCAGGCCACGCTTTCCCCTCAGTGCCGGGTTGAGATCCGCAAGAGCCCAGCCCACCGCGTTACACTCGGTCTCGTAGACCAACCGGTTTCCCCGGTATTGGTCCTTGCTGCAACAGGCGCGAGGATAGACACAGTTTTCCGTCTTGAATTCTTGGTTGAGGTTATCCACATTGACGGACTCAACGTCGCACCGGATAGTGTATTCCATCTTGACCCGATCGCGGGAGTATTCAAAGGCAATCCACTGGACGCCGTTGTTATCCTGCCGGACGACAAGGGGTGTCGTGGCCGGGATGGGACCGGGTGCGGCGCTTGAACTGGCGCCGACATTCGAGCTGGGATGGTGCGCGCTCCCCGCAGACAGGGGTCCGCCCGTCGCCGCGGGCAACGGAGGATGCAGGATAGCCCTTTGGGGCGGAGTCGGCTGCTGAGCTGTGGCCGTATTCGGGCTGCTCATCGAGCCTGGCGGGGCCTGAGAAGACTGATGCTGCAACTGCGACCCGGTCGAGTGGGCTATCATCAATGGCTGCGAGGTCAGGGAATGCTGAGGGGAAGGGTGCGTCGGATACGGCGAGGGCTGTACAGGGTTCACGGTTGAATAATGCTGATATCCATACATGCCGGATGGCATCTGAGGGGATTGCGTGTAGATATTGCGATTATGTTGTTCATGCGTCTGGGAGGCCACCGACGCAGGGGAGCTGGACTGGGGGGTATGGTAAATGGGCGGATATGGCCTCGGCATTTGGGTGGTGGTCGCCATGATTTCCGGAGGGCCTGGTTCTTCAATCAGCTACCGCATCTCGGAAAATCGCGCGGGAACGAGACCCAACAGTCCACACTATGAGAGGGGAGACAATTAGAGCGCTACTTACCGCTTGAAGGGTATTGCGATGGCGTACTGGCCGTCGTGTACGGCTGGTGAGAAGTATAGTAAGGGTCCTGGGGTGCCTGTCCGTAGGAAGACTGGCTGTGCAAGACGCCGTTGCCTACTGTGTGTGACGGTCCGTACGGATTAGGGGGGATTGTCGTAGTCGACTGATGTGGAGAACTAGGCTTCTGGTGTGGAAGTAAGGTTGCTGATCGAGGATGCTGCAATTGAAGATGGTGTGGGCCAGGGTGCCCAGAGTGTCGGATCTAAAAAGGACGAGTCAGCGCAGTTGATTTGAGAGGATCATGCAACACCATTTAGCAGGAGAAGAATCCACAGGTGAGGTCTTCTAGGCTCGCAAGCATTGATCTGTGCACCCAGCAGGATGCGCGCAAGTAATATCAAATGCAAATTCTCAAGGTAGACTTCGTCTGAGGGGTTGTCGCCATGTAATGATGCCAAAACAAAGGGGGTACTGTGCCTCAAGTATCAAACGATCCCAACGTCGAGCTGACAGTCAGGTACTCGTAGGTTTTAGACTTGATTCTGGGTAGTTTGGATCCCAAGGACTTTCCAAAGGCGCTGGTCACCAGAGACTACCCAACGGCGGTGCCAAGGGCCCGGCTGCAATGATTGACACGGGTAGAGACAGGTGCAGCTGGGACCATTCCAGAAGTCAAGGCTGACGCCACGACATCATACCACTTTTGATTGAAGCACGGTTGAGTCTCAAGCCGCGCAATCAATCTTGGAGGCTATGGCGACAACTGTTGCGAGGACAAACAGACGCGATTGATGCCATGGAGACAAGGAGGAGGAGAAGGTGAAAAGACGCGTCGGGAATAACGATGGACTCATTGACGAAACGATGTCCAAGTTATATCCCATAGGGAGAGTCCACAGTACCATCGCAGACATGACTGGGTAGACCACGCAGAAAACAAAGCTATACACAAGATTGCAACAGAGGGAATATAGCATAAACAGGGAGAAAACCACAGCCATAAATGTCAAAGGAACACAACCAGGAAAAAGGATAGAAGAGAAAGCAACAATCATCACCTACCGTGTCGTCAACTGGCTCGTCCTTGTACTTGGGCGCCGTGGGATGAGCTAGGTCAGTCTGAACCATGCCGGTCATGACTGACCTCGAGTACAACGAGATCGAGTAACCTTCTTTTTACTACTTCTGATTTGTGGTTCAATCCCCGGAAACTGCAATCTGAGGGCAAGGTAATTAGACCCAAGTCCCACGCGAATCGAATGGTAGGAGAGAAAAACGGCGGGGGTAGTTTGGCTGGGGGGGAGGGATATGGCATGTAAACAAAGGGCAGTACGGACTGAATTTCAAGGCTCGTTGGCTCTGCGGGGATCGATGGAAGGGAAGGGATGGGGATCTTTGGACCATGGGGCCTTGTAAGTAGGTAAAATCGGTGATGCCAGAACCAGTGTAATGTGGAGGGGTCCAGGGTCGTTATTTAGCTGCAACAGAAACCCATCATTCAGGCCGTCCAGACGAGCCAAGGCACCGAACGGACTATGCCGGATGGGGGATGGAGGGGGGAAGCATTGAATGGAAACAGCAGATAACAATCGAATCAATTAATCCGTCGAGTCAGATTAAAGAAATGAATCAAAGGATGATCCCAAGAAAGGGAAGATCATAGAGGGAGAAAGGGAAAAATAGATAAAACACAAAACAAGCAGTGATAATGACGATTATGACGAAGATAATGACAATAATAATCAACAAGGGCCGCACTAAGAGGTCAGGGATCGAATGGGGCAGGGGAATTTAATCCTGGAGGTGGGTGGGGATATCAAAAAATGGGCTTGTAACTTTGCGGGAACGTGGTGTAATATTGGCCAGGATGTATGCAGAACGCAGGTGAAAAGGATGTGACGGCGGAGTCAGATAGGTAGAGAAGTAGAGAAGCAAAGCAGAGAATTCAAGTAGAAGGTCGATGTCTGGGAGGGATTCTTTGCAGGCTGCAGGTGCGTGAACAGGAAAGACGAGGGGGGGGGGATATAGATCAAAGAGAAATTCAAAAGATTCGGAGCCACCATACCTGGCTTTTCTGTATCACCGAGTCCAGCAATGAGATCCTCGATGCGGTGGATGACAATCAAGTCAAAAGAGGAGGGGGGGGGTTAAGAAGACAGTGGTTCAAGATTGGTTGATGCTACTCAGACGAAACGCGAAGGGTTCACAGAGTGTTGCAATTGGGAGGCAAAATCAAGAACAGACAATGAATCAACCCAAACGAGAGAAATCGAAGAGGGTTAAATTTGGTAGTGCTAATGATGAAAGATGGCCGGGGTGACCCTCAAGCAATAAAGGATTTGGTAAAAATAAAAGAAAGACGAAGAGATAATAAAGAAAAAGAAAAGGAAAGCGAAGAAAAGAAAAAGAGAGAAAAGAAGAAAATGAAATAAGAAAGAAAGGAATAATAAAAGGGAATATTAATGGGTAGAAAATAAATAAAATAATGAAATAAATAAATATAATAAAATAAATATAATACAGTAATAAAAGCAAGAATGGAGGATGAAATAAAGGTGTGAGGGACTTGGGACAAAGGATTCGGAGAGAACCGCCCGTGATGGACGGAGTCGTTGGCTTCGTGGAGAACGGCGTCTTCCTCCGAAGTAGAGGGTCGGGTAAGAGTATTTGATGGCACAGGATGTACTGAATCAACAAGAAGAGAAGAGAGAAATGTGAAGAAAGAATGAATTGGAGAATACTGGACAGGAAGATATACACGGGACCTGCTATAGGTATCTACTCTATGCCTAGGTAGATATCTACTGAGTAGACCACCAACATCTGATGAGCGTTAATTGGGATGGTTCGTATAATGCATCTAGATGAAGCGGTCGCTTCGGACAATCTCAACATCCTGCTTCTAATTACCCAGACTTGATGAGGGTGAGGTATTGAACAGCCAATCAATCCATCTGCTCTGTACTTACCGGGGCATGAACTTGCTAAAGAAGATGCAGCTAAGCAAGCTAACGCTGTGTGTATGATTGTGTGTGTATGTGTGTGTGTGGGAGTAGGTAGGTGTGGGTGTGAATGGGATATGGGTGGGTGGGAGAGTGGGTGACCAGACAGACAATGACTGGCATATAATTTTAGATTTGTCGATAACTAGTCTAAATGAGAATCAGAATGGTACTAGTGATCTTAACGATCAGGATCAAAATCATTCCAAGGAGAATCTATCCCCGTCTCGACAGTCCAGACCGATTGGCTGAATCTCCATATTATTCCTCATTATTATTATTATTATTCGGATTAGTATTCTAACAGCTGAGGAGAGTGGAATGAAGATTGGCGCCGGGAGGGAAAAGGCACCGTACAGTAGTCGTCGTTAGCCTGATGGCTAGCCTGGTTTTGGTGAGACTGTCTTCATGCCCGCCATTCTTAGTCGAAGTTTACTCGGTCCAGACAGTTAACGTCGACTTGGATCTCGCAGCGACCAGACCAAAATTCAGGTACCACGCCTTTCCCCCTGTTCCACACGACACGAGTCTATCCCCGGTCTATCTGTGGATGCTGGGTGTTGACCCTGGTCAAATGCAGGATGATGTACGGAGGACGGCGCGAAGTAGGGTTCTTCTATCTCCTGTGAAGAACATGGACCATATCAAAAGATTATTCTACATATCCAGAAAGGACAGTGCACTCGTTTCACCTCCGGGGGAGTTATCTGGCTGGTGCCCACTTGAGGCGCACCTCAAGTGGTGCATGGGCCGTTCGTTGCTACATCGAAGGGATCGTCAGCACTCCTCCCACAATGGTTGATATGGCAAAACATTCAATGGGCTTTTTGTCTGTGCCAGCCCGCCAGCCACTGTCAATCTCCAAACGTTTCTAGAATTGATTTGGCTGATTGATGACACAATGATGTTGCTTTGGTTTGATTCCTTCCCCTTTGGTCTTCCCCTCTTTTGATGTCATGGTAATGACATAATATATAGTAGTACATAGTATACTATACTATATAATATATAATATCGATCTGGACACTTCTCAGTTTGAGGTTGGGAGTACGGAAAACAATCGATCTGACTTGTTGTCCCGTCAGCCTTGTTCCCACATCCACAAGCGCCACACGCCAAACCCACCCCCCTCCCTGAGCCCTCCATCAAATGACAGGCGTCGATTCCAGGCCTCGTCACCTCTCCCGCATGCTAAAGGAGGGAGCTTTTGCTTACCATCCTCCGTGATGATGCAACCTGCCTGTTCTTGACTCTACCGAGCTCTTAGTTGATTAAGTTATAGGGTCTAGCGCTCTCCTTCCTTGGCCGATTGATCCTGTCCAAATAAACTCGAAACAGCGCTAATAGAGTCCGCTCGGGTGATTCACTTGAATAATACTGATCATACATAAATCACAATACAAGAGTAAATCATAAGATAGAGAATGTGAATTATTTAGATGAAGAAAAGATAAACCAGAGACAAAAGGAGGAAAGAAAAGAAAGGCCGTGTAACCCCAGAGGGAAAATGTGCGAGGCAACTGATCGATTAGTGGCTCTAATTACTGCTGCTTCCCGTGGACTGCGAGTAGTACCTAGTAACACTGCTAGCCTCCTGCGCCGCATCACCGTCATCATCTCCTTCACCATCACCATCTATCTATCTTTACAAATACTTCGGGTGAAGCAGGTCTGCCTGCCTCACAGCATGCCACTCAACCACGTGAATTAAGGGCAAATGTCTCACAATGATGCTGGAAGTTAAATCTTTCCTACTTCCCAAACCAGTCAAACCAAAGTGTATTTAGGACGGGTTGCATGTCGGGGTCGGGAAGCTAATCACCGACCTAATACATAATACTCCGTACATATCACAGACCCTGCGCTCTTGACCTTGCACCTTGTTCTGGACATTGACTATCTAGACACCACCAACTTGATGATCGCGAACTCTGACCGAGAATACTTTCCTACCACGGAGCCCTCCTCCTGCGACTAAGTATCAGAGTGGACACAATACTTCCATCAATCGACCAGGAGGCGAGTTAGGCTTTTCCCCACCGGGCTAGCGCATGGTAAACTCGGTCCAAAGTGGATGCTTGTGCGTTCCGGCTCTTCGAGGCTTTCCATGGTATAAGGTCTGCCAGCCACACTGTAACCGTCATTTCCTTTATTATTGTTGTTGTTGTTGTTCTACGGAGCAGACGACGGAGTATGTTTGCTGGCTTTGTCTGGAGGGTTTTTCCGCTTTCGGAAAGAAAGAGATTGAACCCCCTTCCCGTGCATTGTTTGATATTATTATTATATTTAGTTAAGACTAGTAATAAAGAGTCGAGTCCTTACCATGTGAGATTACTTTATTCTCGTTCTATCTTCATGATGAACAGTCTGGAGATATAAACTCATTACCTTCTATGCACTATGAGATCTAATATTCCACCAGCGTACTACTCCGGTATGTATTCATTCTCAAGAAGTATATCAACAGTATCACGACAGACCTGGTCTACACGCGCACTCGTTAAATCTAACCCAAACAGGCAGAACTCCAGATCGATGGCTCATCATAATAATAGTATATTTCCGTACAAACGATGGAGTACCATCGCCTCTAAAGGAACAACCCAATACACTAAGGCAGGTCGCTAGTGGAGTCGTCGTAATCGGACCTTTTCCTTTCCCCTCTCATATGCATGGTAATTTGGGAATTCGCCTAGACCGTCAAACTTGTTGTTTTGTGAAGATAGAATTGACTAAAAAATAATATATATAATAAAAATAAGTATAATGGATAACAGTGATAAAAAAAAACGGCCAAAAAACCATTAAAAAAAAAAAGTAAGCAAGAAAAGGAAAGGAAAAAAAGGGAGGGTGGGATACGCCCCAGTCCCACCCACACCCACACCCACGCCCCCCGCGAGGTTAGCTTCCTAGTTAGCCGTCGGGCGGGTGGGGCTCATAGGTGGAGGCACTAGAGGGCAAGGCAAGCAACCACAGCACCACCAGTACCAACAACTACTACCAGCTCCTGCCTAGCTAGCCTAGCGGGAGGAGTAACGGCGTCAAAAGACGTTCTTTTTTTCTTTTCTTTTTGTTTTCTCGCTACCAGGGTAAAGTCGCCATTGTGATCGATGCAGGGTGCTCAAAGACGTGTCCTTTTTATTATTTTCTATTTTGACACGGTTTACTTTTGATATTTCCGGTTTTCTACTGTTTGTGTCTTGTTCATTCGATGTCTTCTCCATCCGTGATCAAATTAGTATAATCTCACGGAGTACTCCGTACTCCGTAAACCAGAAGAGAATACTGGTTCAGGAATCTCATCTCATCTCAGTGGTTTCATCTCACTCGTTGCTGACATGAATGCCATGTTTTCTTTTCTTTTTGTCTTGCTTCTTCTGTCAGATTCACATGGCTCAAATGATAATCAATAATAATAACTGTCATACTCAGTCTTCCACAAATTCCTGATCATATTTCTCTGCCACCCTCTTCGGAGTGTTCTAAATCTCATTATCACCATTTATTTTAATCCCTCGTATTTCATCCAATTTTACATTGTTATTCTACAAAAGCATATCTAATTTGTTCTATCTTATTCATTCGTTGATATGTGCTGTATATGCTGATCTCTGTATATCTCTTGATGGGTCCGCGGGAGTGGGCGTTACAGGGTATGTTTTAGAAAAAGAGGAGAGGAGGGGGGCCGACGGGCGAAGCTTTCACGAAGTCAGCATAGATTATAACAGGTATAATTAATTGGAAAAAAAAAGAGTGCGGAGCCAAACACCTCTTTGCCCACCAATCCTAGAACAATGTACTGTATTGTACTGAGCAGTAAGTAAGAGAGACTTTCCCTCCTCCTACCCATCTGCCTAGGCCCTAGGCCCTAGGCACACGGTAGCTGAGGTTAGGCAGTAGGTACCTAGGTAGTAGACCTAGTCCACACTAAACGATTGATCGATTGAGTCGAGATGGAGCCAATCGATGGCTCGTTAATTGAGATTGCGCCGTTGGTCATGGCTATTACCATCTTGTGTCTAGTATATATTGGGGGATGTACTGAACAAGTTTGAGCTCGGGTTGGCTCGCTTCGGGACGCCATCTATCCTTGTTAACGATCAGGCGTGTCGATTGGGTTGTGGCAAGCCATCTCCCCTCTTCTTCCCCGCCTCTTCTTCTAGTTTTCTTGGCTGCGGATTGAGTAGACTGTATGGAGTAGGAGGAGAGAATAGATAACATTCCGTGTGAAAGCGACGTACAATGCAGGAGCACTGTGCAGTTGATTAATTAATTAATTAATCAGACCTCTGTAGGAGAAGGAAACCAAGGAGGGTAGACGACATGCAGACCTAGGATGCAGCCAGAAGAGATCTGTACCTGTCATTATTGCCACATGCTTCCCACCAAGATTCAGGTTTAACTTTCGACTCGATGGCAGACAGACGGACAGACAGGCAGTTGACAAGCCCGTTGTGACTAGTACGTTTGGTCTTCCTCCGCGGAGGACACGCATTAGCTTGGGAGGATGAACTCAGTGAGGCTATGCTTTGCTTCATGTTGTCTTGTCTTGTGCTTCCCACATGCTTGCTACGAGATACTCTACTAGATACGGAGGGTAGAAGACTATTTTATCGACTTGTTTGTTTCATTGTTGGGACTAGCTTGGTTGAGTTAGTGTGGTATTACCCTGGCATGCTTTGTCGTTGTACTCCGTACTTACTTTTCCTAATAAGGTACTATGCCGAAGCCACTCACTGCACCTACTGCGCTGCACTGCGCTGCAGTTCAATCGTACTTGCGAGGGATTCATTCTCGAGTAAAACTCAGTGGAAAAAAAGAGCCAAACAAAACGTACCCAGAATACACACTCAATTCAAGATACATACAGTGGATAGAGCCACATGTATAGTATAGCGGAACCCACCCAGACCAACGAACCACGGGGGGCAGCGGTCCCGGATCCCGTCGAGGAATCACAACCCCTGGGCGGATCAACCGTGGAACCTGCCATGATCTCGAGGACTTCCTTCCGTCTTTCCCCTCTCGATATCGCCGGATCGACTGGCGGCGAACGGACGACAGTTTGGATCCATCGCGTTTGATTTACTGAACGGCAATATTAGGATAATTATTATTATGACTATTTATCTTATTTAATTCATCTTAACCGTCGGAGCTGTCTCCACCGGCATCTTCGCATATTTTTTTCCTGGCCGACGGAGTAAATTGAATATTCCGGTGAGCATACTTGGACATAACATCGGACTAGGCTATATAGGTAGGTGGGAGAAGTTTGCTCGACCTCTCGAAAACGAAGGCTCATCTCATGCAGGTGAAATGTACATGTAATCTGCAATCAAATTAAAAGGTCAAATCATTAATAATTGTAATATATTTGAAGAAAGTAAAATATAGCATAATAATTAATTAATAAAATACGGAAAATGGGAAAAATCCTGTTGATAAGCGGAACTGTGCAAAGTAAACCCACGGGTGGCAGATAAACTTTCTCTCAGTATGGTTTATGAATTTACTTTTTTATTTCACATTTCCCATGTTAGATTCTATTTGACTAACTTTCAGAAAATCCGTTAACGACTCTCGAACTAACTTCCTTTAGGACGGGATCGGCGACTAGGGGAGGGAGGGAGAAACGGGTGGTCGAACATCAGGATTGCCCGTGTTAGAATTATTCCTAGTCGAAAGTCAAAACCACCCTGGTCGGTGGACACGGAGAAATACAGTAGAAGGATCAAAATCTAATAAACTCAGTCTATCCAGGATCGGGTCCACGCACGTTGGGTACGTTATTGACCGTTTCGTCAACCGAACCCGTCGGGAGGATCTCGGTATGGTACGCGACGGGATTTTATCGCGCAGTGAAAGAGGCAAGGGGGGGGAGGGAAAGAGGGAGGGGGATGGAATTACTTGCCGTCTTTCCGGCGCTGCTGTAGCGCCGCGTGGATCGGGCTGCGTTCGAATCCAGTTGACTTGAGTCGAGTCGAGTCGAGTTTTGAGGCGCCGTGATTGATTGGGAGGTTAATGGAGGTACTTCAGTGATGGACGAATCCGGTAATAGGTTGGCTAGGCATGCCGTCCTATTACCCAAGGTACGAGAGGAGGTATAGACGAAGGTGTCATCATGGATCATATTCTCTCATCACGATGTCATGCGATCAGCATAGTGCGGCGTGATATGGATTGTCCGATTTGCACGGCTTGGAACGCGTTCAGGCTAATGAGATTCGGCTGAGCTTGCGGGAAATAGCAGACGTTGTTATGGCTATAGGAGTTGACATTATGATTATGATGGACGAGTCCTTGCCGTTGTCTCACGGGAGGAGAAGAACCATAACAACATTTTGCCCTCCGAAATAGATCGTAGAGCCACTAGAGCGAGGCTGGCCGATGGCCTATGTTGACCGGGGTAGGGATTGTCGGTATTTCCACCGTTGTGCAGTTATATGCCTCGGTGGGTCAGACTTCGACCTCTCAGCTAGCTTATACCGAGGGTAGATAGATACGTATCTATGCTCCGTGTCTGTTGTGTCTGTACTAGTCGTTGTGAATGAGACAATCTACGCATCTTTGGAAGTCGTCCTTATCTAGAAGCAAAGCGCCTGGACAGAAAGACTTCTCTACTCCGTGATACAAGTGTCAGTGTTCGATAACCTGCCTGACAACCAGTACTTCCAAGCCATTCTCAAGGTCAGCTACAGCAGGGCAGCAGAGAGGAGGGGTAACCAATCCCGGCGATTCTCCGCTTCCATCTCTTTGATATCTATCTGCCGTGCGCTGCAGCACACCCCTGCGTAGTATCCTCATGGCGCAAAGCGATCAAGAATGAACCGCATCTCAATTCCAAGTCTAGGCCTTCCCATAGTCACTGATCACCATCCTGGGCTGGCCTTGGAATGCTCCACACCAGCTCATCCTCGCCCACGACCCTGCGCTTAGGACGGGCTCATGAAGCTAGGTGTTACTTATTTTAGAGAAACATGTGCCGTGCCCTAACCGACCTGTACTATCCCACTACTATCATGGTCTCCGTTCTCCATGGACGGATTATGGATCATGTACTTCTGTTGCCACGCACTTACTCCGCCGATCCATACTCCAAACAGCCATCCACTCGGATCAAATCGAATGAAATTGGCTTTTTTTTTTCCCACTTCCACGCTCCCGACGGATGGAGTCATGGCTTGAGTAGCCCCTCCAATCATGCTTCCCAGCGGACATTAAACAAAGGGAATGGACGGGTAGAGAGGGGGGAGGGGGAAGTCTATCTGGTACTTACTTTGGCGTAGTGTCTGAGTGGTTGAGACTATATCCGCTGCTGTTTTCTCCGCAATCCAGAAACAGCCAATCTGTTCTACTAGACACATACGGACCCGAGAGCCGCCTTCCGACCCCGGTCAAGGCCACACCAAACTTTTCGAATTATGATATGCTTGGTGATTACCGTGATCTTTCACCCGTTTAACTTTCTATGAATGGGCCATGATTATGGACCAGGAAAGGTAGAATTAATTAACTTAACTTCATCGGCTTATCCGGACCCACCCTCCTCCTGGTCTTTCGTTCTGTCTCTCTTTCTTCTCCCATCCATCATCCATCATCCATCCCCCATCGGTCATAGTGGCCGATTCCACTAATAGTCCCAGCTGGTGCGACTTCCAACGCGCTCACCCTTGACCCACGCGTATCGCCCAACCACTAACAACCAGGCTTGGTGGCCAAGTTACGTCAGGATCTCATTTCAGTGTCGTGAATCAATTCCTTCGAGGGAATCCTTAGATCCCTGACTTCGTGTTGTGTTATGGAAGGAGTATTATTACTGTTCTTCCTCACGAGCCGTCCGCGAATTGGCCGATTGGATGGACGGTTTGCTTCGATGCTGCTAGGTACTCGGTAGTGTTGGTAGCGGCGCATGGCGTCCGCGAATCACGAACTGGTCGTATCCTTGCCCGATGTCTATCTCATCTGGCTGTAGTGTCTTTGAGGGCTTGATGGAGGAGGGAGGGTGAGATGGTCTATCATGTTGGGTACTGATTCGGGTCAATCTCATTATGGCAATAATATATAATTGACACTTGATTTTCAGGATCAATATATGAAGATCGTGCTAACAATTGTGAATCAACCACTCGGAGAATAAAACATGACAGAATCTACGGAGCAAAAACAGGGATAACTATAATCAAAGAAACAAAGGAAACAGTGGGCCCGATCGAAGAACAGATAAAAAGACAGATAAAACAAAAGAAAGATAAATCACAGACCAGCCGAGAAAATGGAGACAAGTCCGATTAAACCCATGTTCCTGTTTCATCCTGCCACCCACTAACGACGGATGATTATCGGAAGGCTGTCCACATTCGACAGAGTTCAATCGATGGAGACTGGAGAGACCGAGGTCTGCCAAAAGAAATGATGAAACGGTTGGTTCAAGTTGTGATCATACGGGGAATGGTGAATATTCACCGACTGTCAAGCGATGTGACCTATCCAAAGCTTCGCTTGTACCCATCTTTTGTATGAGGATTACCGGTAAGTATCCCCAGTTGTCAACATACATATTTACCGATATTATAGGTCAAATCAATCCTATAACTAGATAACAATTCACGCAATAATACTCCGCAAGAGAGTAAGAACTTCCATGCTCTGGATCAACCACCGCGGACAACCCGTTAACTAAATTAGCGATGTCTTGGACTCGCACCCCCCTAGCGCAACGATAGACAATGCGATTTACCCGACTGGGAACCCGTCTAGGTCTCGGAAAGGCCCAGCGCCACGGAGATCAAGAACGTTCTTGAACTTGTTTGCCCTCCTTACCGAGTGGTCGAGATGCGATCAACCAATGAATCATATTGACCGGGGGGAGGAAGCGGACTCCGTCCGTTGTTGATTAGGCGATCCAATCAGTTGATGATGAGTTTGCCACGGATTGAATCAATACTTAGGTTTACTGTTGCTGCTCCTACTACTACTACTACTACTACTACTACTACTACTACTACTACTACTACTACTAATACTACGTTAGTGTTTGTTTTGGAGGATTGTTTTGATGACGGTCGTGGTGTAAGTATTACGTTATGTCGAGACCTGCCTGTGCTGGGGATAAATTAATTATGGAGAGGAAAGTTGATGGTGATGCGATGCCACCTCATACTTGCATACGATACTATAAATTATATAGATGTCAATCAGTGGATTCATAATATATCGAATAGATGCATCGAGAAAGAGACCTGCTAGACGTGAAGAGAATCAAGATATCAAGGGACCCATGCTTACCCGTCGATTCCCTGCCGGTTGGCATGACTGACCATGCCTACTGATTGTTTCTAGTCTATTACCTAGAACGTCTATTACTATCTTGCGACTACTAGGTAGATATCTCTCAGTATTCTCTTCATGAACAAGGTAGCAGGTAAGGATGGAAAACCAGATACAGGAGCAGAATATACCCTAATCACCCCCTTGGAACGATCCTTCTATTCTCTTACGCA